CCACAGAGCCAGCAGGGTTGCAGCACTTTCAAAGGGAGCTGCCACTCCAGCCTTAGCTGGATGGAGGTACACTTTCCTTGGCATACTTACAGGGGTTGTTTGCTGGTTGGTAGAGCACTTGGGTTTTGGAATCAGGTTCAGGTTCTTCCCAGTTTTGTCATTTACTAACTACATGGCCTTGGGCTTTTACTCACTGCTCACTTTAGAATGGAATACTGACAGCAACCTGGCTCATGGGTCTGCTGGAACTATCTGATAATATTAATTAATACTAATACTAATAGTGTCAGAGTATACGTATCACCCCCTTTATTCCTCCCAATGAAACGATGAGGTTGCTACATCCAGTAGTTCCATTTTACAAATGAGAAAAAAAAAAAAAAAAAAAAAAAAAAGTCGAGAGAGGCCACTTCGTGTGTCCGAGGTCACACATGAGCTGGAGCTGGGATTGGATTCAAACCAGACAGTCTGGTTTCATCACCCTTGTGTTCAGTCACTTTACCAGAACACTCTCCTGCCTCTTCTAAAGGAAATAATACAGGAATCGTGCCTGGCATTAGTAACAGTGCAGTAAGTGATAATGTTGAAATAGTAAATAATACCTCAATCTCTTCAGGCCTCTACCTGCCGATGGAATTCATACCAACAGTAATAACAAAAATTTCACTTCATCACACCTCTGCTTGCATGATCCAGGTTCCTAAATCTCTCAAAGTTACTGCTGGGGTATCTCACCTGGATCTCCTGCCCTCCCACACTTGCCCCTCCCTGAAGGCCCTGCCCTTGAAGTCCCTTCTGCTGGGAGTATCCTCCTTCCCTCTTCAAGGGCTAAACGCCCTGGGCCCTAAGCAGAAATGGGTCATCACAGTCAACACTGTCATCTTGGAGACTAGCAACTCTTGTCAACTGTGTGCTGTTACAGTTGGTAGATGTCTCTTAAGCAACTGTTATGTTTTGGAAATGATGCCAGAATACACTCCCACACAAGATACAAGCAACCAGTATGTCCAGACTGGTACCCTATAGCAGCTTAGGAACTCCTGGCATCTACTAAGTCCCATACAAGATCAGCCTTTCTTACCATATTCATTAAAAATAGTGAGGGTTGTAAAGTACAAAGTTTTGTTGTTGGTGGTGTTATAGCTTAGAAAAATGCCCAGGCAATTCTTGATAGTATCTATTTATTATACTTTATTTAAATGGTCTTTACATTTGAATTCTTGCCAAGGAAATGTCCTAACTTTTACTTCCATCTGGCCAAGCAAAGCGTTTGAACCTCCCCTGGGCATTGCAGCACTGGAATCCGCCCTCCTACCATCACCAGGGGTTCCATTTGTGGCCTCTCGGGGCTTTGGTATGTCTTGGTTCACTTGGAGGCAATAGTCTCTGTACACTGAGAAAACCTCCCCCACTCCTCCTCCAACCAAGGGGGCAGAAGACCCAGGAACAACAATGTGATGTCACCTAGGTGACCATGGGGACAGACTCACACATGAAATGTCTATGGAAATGGAAATCAACTGCATACATGGGGGAACTGTAGTTATTTTTCTACATGCTTAACGTTACTAAAAGTGAAGGGAAAGCAAGATACAAAACCAGGAGGAGGAAAGGAAAAGCGCTCAGAAGCCTGCAGCAGACCTGTGTGAGGGGGAGTGAGTAATCAGTAATTTCCTGCTCTCTGTGATAAGAGAGTAGTTTAACCAAACTGGTTTAACCAAACATTTGCCCTATTGGCCCTTGGCTTAAATTTAGTTACTTATGACTGTGCTTCCAATTCTTAAGGGCAACTGAGTCTTCTTTTTTTCCCTTTTTTCTTTTTAAATCAGAAAATGAAAAGGTAGACCATTTTCAGGCAAAAAAAAAAAAAAAAAGTGTATTCTGAGATAGTAGCAAAACCTGCCATTGTAAACAAGACAGACACTGAGTCATAGATGAGGGCCTAGGCTGCCTGTAGGGAAAACTTTTGGTTTGTTTTTGAGTTACAGTACTCCCCTGAGGATTTCCAGGCTTCCCACAAAGGAAGAAGGGCTGAGATCCCATCTCCTTTCCACTTCATTTTAAAAATAATATTCTGCGTCCATTAAATTGCATGCTGTTTTCCTAAATGGGAGCACATAAGAGAGCTCTTTGCTTTGAACATGTAAAAGAGAAAGTCAGTCACTCTCATATTAATGCTGATCATTAGCTCATTGTTGAGCGTTTAGCTGTCACAGTAGGCCGGACAACCAAGATTTCGAGGACATAGCCTGCTGCATGCCATGGGAATCATTTGCATGCAGTTATGGAATTGTTTGCATGTAATCAGACACTATGTTTAACACTGGAAGCCATTTATGTCCAAAAGAACTCTTCTGTGCTCCAAAATGCATTTTGTTGCTCAATCTCCAATAGAGACTCCCAGGCAGAGGGTTTCCACAAGGATCATTTTGTACATGTTCTGCACCGCACCCCCCCCCCCCCCACAATGGCCCAACACTTAATCACTTTTCCATTCTATGTTCATCAATGCTCCAGGCAGCCAGCTGCCCTGGTCACCCCAGGTCTCATGACTAATAACTCAGGCTACTCCTGAGACAGGGCACACAGAGCTTCAAGTGTGAGCATACTTTTCATTTGCATCTGCAAGATTTGACTATTCCAGCTGAGGCAATCTGGCCTTTTCAATGCCATTTATTTAACACACAGCCTGAGTCAGTCCCTGTGCTTAGTGGAAGGTTGGAGAGTGGTTCACAAAGAAAATCAAGACATGGTTCCCACTTTCAAGTTCTTGCCCGGTAGAGTCTACCAATACCTAATAGGCAACAAGTGCCACAAAAGAGCTAAGAAAGGCCTAGCTGGTTTTGCTTACTGGATAGAGCATCAGCCTGCAGAATGAAGAGTCACTTCTGGTCAATTCTGGTCAAGGGGACATGCCTGGGTTGTGGGCTCGATCCCCAATAGGGGGGTATGTAGGAGGCAGCTGATCAATGATTCTCTTTCATTATTGATCCTTCTCTCTCTCTCCCTCTCCCTTCCTCTCTAAAAATAAATAAATAAATAAATAAATAAATAAATAAATAAATAGCTAATAAAGGCACATGTATAAGCAACTAATTCTTCCTGGGAGAGTCACAGAATGCAAAAGATAGGATTTTTAAGCTGGGCTTTACAGAATATGCAGGAGTTTGCAAAGTAGACAGGGAATGGGAACCCAAACCAAGTCATAGGAAATGTATGAGGTGAGCAAGTATATAGATAATCTGGATGAACAGTCCTGAACGTCAAAGTAGAATAGATGGGATAGGTCAGTGGTCAGCAAATCTTGGCTCGAGAGACACATGCAGCTCTTTGGCCGCTTGAGTGTGGCTCTTCCACAAAATACCACGACCTGGGCGAGTCTATTTTGAAGAAGTGGTGTTAGAAGAAATTTGTTTAAAAACTCTGGCTCTCAAAAGAAATTTCAATCGTCGTACTGTTGATATTTGGCTGTTGACTAATGAGTTTGCTGACCACTGTTTCATAGGCAACAGTTGTCTTCTAGGAGTGTGTTCCCAGGTCAAATTTGTGTCAGGAACACAATTCCAAAGCAACTGTGGAGGACTTTATGGATACAGCAGCCTTTACTGACAACGTGGGAACCCTGGGGAGAGGTTGTAATATATAGTGCAAAATCTATCCACGTGTTAGGACTTCCCGGTCTCTCTCCTGCTCCTATCTGGGCTCCTCAGCTCTGAGAAGTTCCAAATTCTTCTTCTATTTTTTTTTTTTTAAGTACTTGGACATTTTAAAGAACTTCCCTCCACCTGGTAGCTTCAAGCTACCAGGACACAGACCCCACCAACACCCTTAATCTTCTCCTTGCTCTTCTGCTGAAGAACTTGGCCTTCACAATGTCAGGCTGCTCTGGGAGCTTTCCCTCCCCCAGAACTGTGTAGTGGCCTGATGGCACCACCTCAATGACAGGAGCAGCTCCAGTCTTGATTTTCCCGTGTCTGCTCACTGACCAGGGTGCACAGTTTGTCAAAGTTGACAGTTGGGCAGAAGCTCTGGTTCCTCTTTAAGTGGTGATGCCTCATACCAAGTTTCCCAAAGTCACCTGGGTGATATTTGTCGAAGTTGATCCTGTGATGATGCAAGCCACCAGCATTACCGTGGCCCCCGCGTGCTTCCTGTGCTTGCCGTGGCCGTGGCTCATGTGGCCCCGAAGTTTTCGGGTCTTCCTGAGTGTGGATGGCATGTCGGTGGCCGAGCTGCAAGAGGGAGGCTTTTGGGAAGTCTCTCCTTTAAAGAAAAAAAAACTTTTAAATAGCCCAGATAGCATAAATCAGTGGTTGACCAGTCAGGGTTGCAGCTTGATCCCCAATCGGGGGCATGAAGGAGGCAGCCAATCAATGACTCTTTGTCAGCATTCATGTTTCTCTTTCTCTCCTTCTCTCTTACTCTCTAAAATCAATAAAAATATTTAAAAAAACACACTTTTAAATATGTTTTTAAATTTTTAATGTATGGATTGATTTTTAAAAAAGGAGAAAGAAAAAGAGAAAGATATATAAACATCAATTTATTGTCCCACTTGGCTGATTCTTGATTGTGCCTCGATGGGGATAGAACCTGCAACCTTGGCATACCAGGACTACCCTCCAGCTAGCTGAGCTACCCAGCCAGGGTAAACGTTCCAAATTCTCAAGTCCCTTATGCAGAGCTAACATTCAAGCCTGCAGAAGGCTCATTTCCACGCTAAAGAATTATCAAAGTACTTTTTCTAAACAAAGACAGTTATATTGTTAGGAGAAATTGTAGTAATAGCTGCTAAATATAATTTTCTATAGAATTTATAAATTTCTTTCATCACACACATATGAATCATCTACAATATCAGCAATATTCTAAAAGTTTTACACATAATGGAAATTTTTTGTGAAACATAATTATACTTGATAAACACAAGGCAGTATTCCCAAATTCACGCCAGCATTTCAACATCCAAGATAAAATAACGATAGAACACTGTGGTAAACTTATTTTTTTAAAAAAGGTTTATTTGTTACAAAATGTTAAATACTAAAGCTAAAAACATATAAATTCAGATCAGGCTATATTAAAATACACACATATCCTTCTTTGCAAAATTATTAAAGATTTAATTAAACAGATGCTTTAAATAAAATAAAATACTCTTGAGGACTTTTTTTTTGTATAATTAACTGTATCAGTGTAGTGTAGTTTTAAAAATAACAGTTGAAAAGTTTATCTGTCTTGAAAGTCAAATTTATCCAAATCTTCAGTTTTCTGTTACTGCCCAAAACGAAGCCACCATGCTGGCTTGGACTAAATGAATTTCAGTTATGTTGTTGAAACTTCTATATTACAAGCCTGCTTTTCTACAATATGACATAGAGTAGCCAGAAGTATACAAAGGGTTACATAAGGTGAAAACCTGGCCCAGAAAGAGAAGGCCTTAGCTCTACCATACAGTATCTCCTCTAATTAAAATGATTGGGAAATATATTGAAGCAGAGATGAGCACAGAGCACACATTCATATAGAAATAATCTTTCAATTAAAACCAAAACCAAAAGAGTACTCATTTCTCCAGGATAGCTAGAGTATTTTATAATGTCTTGTTATTTTAAATCGAGTGAATTCAAACATTTTAATCTAGATTTAAAAACTAATTTGATTACTATTCTGAGCAGCTCTGAAGAGCTATGACATCTTCGTGTCTGAATCGCTCACACAGGTGTAAAGGACTTTTATAATAAAAACTACATGCTTAACATCAACAGAGCATCCACTTCCACACCCAGCTCCAATCAAACGACCTAAAACCTATATGTAGTCCATTTAAATGTTAAATAGTATTTGCAAGAACATATTTTGCTTTAGAACTTTTGTTTCAATTTCCTAGATTAAGAGTTACTGATTTAGAATTTTAAGTGCTCTAATTCATATAGGGGTAATGCTTATGAAGAATAAAATGCTGTAACTGCACTTTAAAAAGTTCTTAAAAGTGAATGAATTTCTGGAAATCCACTACAGTGTCTATTCTTTATCATGCTAGTGCATGCCCACTGGGATTTGCCAAGAGTTGATTAGCTCAAGTAATTAAAAATTCAAAAGACATAAAATGCATTCCAGTAATTTTCATCAACACAATTCAGTTAAAATCTGGTTTCTTGGGAGAAATATGTAGAGAATTTTTATTTTTTCTCTCTGACAGTGTTGGTATACATCCAAGGACTAACTGTATGTGATTCTAATTCTATAGTGTCAAACTGTTTAATCAAACCTTTGAACAGTTGGGAAACTATATGTATTCTAAAGTACTTGAAAATTAAAAAATACATATATTCAATACTGAATTTTATTACAGAAGAAAATGATGCCAACAATAACACAATAATCTGGTTTTCTCTCTCTCTGCTTGTGTAATTATTTCTGTTTACATGAAACACAAAAGAAACTAGAATTCTGTCTTCTATCCTAGTACCATTTTCTCTACATGGAACAAGTATTTCACTTATATCCTTTCGTTTAACAAGGACAAAACTCGTGCTACTCCTCAAAATAATTTAAATAATTCAAGCCACTGACATCCTAATCTTAGTAAATACACTAAAACAAAAACATCTTGAGCCTTCAATAGCAATTTCTCTAAAAAGCACGTTTTTCTATGAGCATCTTCATAAATACGTATAAAAATCAAGCTGGTCAGTCGCTTTTACCAACATCCTGGTGCTACAGAATGATCAATAATGTATTGGTTCGTCTGGTACAGAGCCAGAACTGCGAGTGTCTTAAAGATAACGAACACAAGACAACTCTCACTCGCTAGTCAAGGTGGCACAGAGGCCCTGGGAGGAACATATTTCCCAAAAGCTTTCAGAACCCCACAATGCTCTCTTCCCGCCAGAAAGCCTCCTTCTCTCCCCTTGGTATCGGTACCTCTTTTCTGCTTTCAGGAACAATGATGTCTGAGCAAGAAAACACAGTACATATCCCACTACAAGACAGACAACATTTCAGAGGCCCAACACACAAAGTGAAAATGCAGGCCCCTTCATCAAACATTATTATGAATTTCAAGATGGAACCAAGCAGGGGCCCTTCTAAGCTCTGACCCTATACAGTTAAAATCTGGTTTCTTGGGAGAAATATGTAGAGAATTTTTATTTTTCCTCTCTGACAGTGTTGGTATACATCCAAGGACCACACAGTTCCCTGGCCATACAATCACCTTGCCTTAGGTTTCCTACCTAATCTGAATCCTAGGGCAGAGACAAGATGGCTCAGTTGGGTTGTTTCAGACAAAAAACATAATTTTTTTATTTTATTTTATGATGGTTTAAACACTGATGTGAAAACAGGTGTCATTTCACATTCAAAATGTCAGGCAAAATTCGATTCCTAGAGTCTGATTGATCAGTCGTCCCCTAGATTTTTCATTATAGAAATAGTCACAGTGGGTCTCTACATGCCCCTAATCTTAACAAAGCCATTAATCAGACATGATGAAATTTCTGTATAAATCCTACATGATTTCTAAAATACTTTAACATTTTTTAACTGGGAAAGGTATTAATATCGCCAAAGCAACTGGTCATCTTAAAGGGAATAAGTGGCTACACAACAGCTTTATACACTATGTGAAGCCTTAGATTTAGCATGTAGTATATTTTGTTCCCTTTTAAGATCATCATCATCATTTTCTCAAAGAGAAATAGTAAACACATTAAGCTGTATGGTGACTTTTTCCCCATATATATATATATATATATATATATATATATATGCCCATGTTTCCATCACAAGAATTTTACTGGTACCCAGAGGTATCCCATTCTTCATAATGATGATAATTTTAAGTGTGTGTGTACATAAAAGCGCCAGGTTACATGACTAAGCAACGACACTTCCGGGAGTGAATATACTTCCTGTATTCCGCAAGCTGCTTCAAGTACAGATTCGATGGCCATCTGTGCTTTTCAACAAAACTGCGTTCTTCCACTAAAATTTTTAGAAAAAAAAAAGTTAATTGAATATATTTTATTTGTGATCGAGTTTAGGTATGAATTATTGCCTTCCTGTTGAATGGCTGACATCCAAGCTCTTCTATATACTCCCTACTCTTCCCTCAAGCCTTCCAAAATCATACAACTTTGGTTAAATCAGTCATCAGGATACATCTTTCCATCACTTCATCAAGTAGTATTGGATAATGTGTTTTTTAATATATATATATATATATAAAACTTGTTTTTTTCCTGGAGATGAAAATGAACTTGTTTTTTCCATATAATTGTTTTTTTTTTCTTTTGTAACTAACACAACCTCCCAAACTCTTTAGAGTCCCCCCTGTCCTATCTCCCACCAAGCCAGAGTGAGCAGGTAGCCCAGCCGTCCCTGCAGGGCTGGGGTGTTGCCCTGGAGACCCTCTCCTCCCAAACTTGCACGCTACTGCTTCCTAGGCCTGCCTCATGCGTTTGTGTTCGTCCAGACACTCCTGACGCAGGTCCTTCCCTTGTTCGATTCTCTAGTTTTGGTGAAGCAGAACCTTTCTTAGCTTCCTGAAAAGGGCAAGTAATAGAAGTATTTTTGAGACCTTGCTTGTGATGAAACGTCTTTCATCTCCTCTCACACAATTCATAATTTCGTTTGCTACAGAATGCTGGAGACAGCACTTAGCAGATCTTTTCAATCTGCTGTCTCAAGGCCTTTACTCCTGGGATAACTCCTGGTATTATAATATTTCTTGGTAATTTTTCCCCACTTTTTTTTTTTTTTTCCATATTAACTTCTATTATTCAGGCATTTCACTTCCTGGATTGAGTCTCCATTTTTTTTTTTTTTTTTTTTAACTTTTCTTTCTGGTCTTTTTGTCCTTCTTTATGGGAGATATCATTACTTTCGACTATTTTATTCACTTAGGTTTTGTTTTTGTTTTTTTGCTATCATATTTATAATGTCCAAAAATGATTCCCTATTCTCATATTGCTTTTTTGAAAATTGTAGTAAAATATATGTAAAATAAAATGAACCATCTTGACCATTTCTAAGTGCACAGTGAATGGTAAGTGGTGTTAACTACATCCATGTTGTCGTGCAACCACATCCATGAAGCGTGCTCCAGAACTCGTCATCTTGCAAAGCTGAAACTGTGCCCATTAAACAATTTCTATCCCTGCCTCCGCTGCCCCTGGAAACCACCACTCTACTCTCTGTCTTTACAGCTGTAACATTCCATCCCTGCTTTTCATGGCTGTCCTTATGCTTGGAGGATATTAATTTTAAAGGTTTTTGTTTGTTTTCTTCTACTCCTTGTGCTCTTGTGTCTCTTTATTCCTCTAAGTTCCTTCTTGTGAGATAATAGAAAACACAGATTGGTCTCCGCACCCAGTTCTTGACACAGAGGCTCCTGAATCCCTTGTAATTTCCTGGGTGGTATTATCGTCTTTTATTTTAATCAGGCAATTCTGGGTGGGCTCCTGATGAGGGCTGGTTATAAAAAAGACATGATTAGAAGTTTGGCTCAGTGGATAGAGAATCGGCCTCTGGACTGAAAGGTCCTGGGTTCAATTCCAGTCAAGGGCACATGCTCGGGTTGCAGGCCTGGTCCCCATAGGAGATCAATGATTCTCTCTCATCATTGATGTTTCTATCTCTCTCTCCCTTCCTCTTTGAAACCAATAAAAATACATTAAAAAAAAAAAAAGAACTTTGGACTTTCAGCACTCCCCCTTCCTGACCCCCACCCCCATTCTCTTAAGAAGGAAAAGGACTGAAAATGGAGTTGATGAACGATCATGCCTGCATCAATGAATGCCCATAAAAACCCCCAAAGTACGAGGTTTGGGGAGCTTTCAGGTTGGTGAGCACATCCACGTGCCAGGCGGAGAATACACTCCAATTCCTCTGGACATGAGCGCCTGCACTTGGGATTCCCCAGCCCTCTCCCTATGTATCTCTTCCTCTAGCTATTCATCTGTGCCCTTTAATAAGCTGGTAAACTTAAGTAAGTGCATCCCTGCCTGTGTGAGGCGATCTAGCAAGTTAACTGAACCCATGGAGGAGGGTCATTGGAATCTCTGATCTATACCAGTTGCTCAAAAACACTGGACTTGAAGTGGGGGGGGGATGGTCTTGTGGGATCTGGCACTCTCACTACCACCAGGTCATAGCTGGTGGTGAGAAGAACTGCTTGGTATGGGGTAAAACCTCAACACATTTGGTGATCAGAAGTGTCAAAAGTGAAGTGTTTTGTGTGAGAAGTAAAGACCACACAGGATAAAGACTCAGAGGAAAGTAACACAGGTGGAAAGACAGTAGGCTTTTCCTATTCACTTCTCTCTTGTTTTCATTCATTATGTCTTGGTTTGGGTATCTATCTTTCAGGCTGGACATTGCCTCAAATATCTGCTAATCCTCAGTTATCCTATATAATAAAAGGCTAATGTGCAAATTGACCAAATGGCGGAACGACAGGTCACTATGGCGTGCACTGACCACTAGGGGGCAGATGCTCAATGCAGGAGCTGCCCCCTGGTGGTCAGTGTGCTCCCACAGGGGAGCACTGCTCAGCCAGAAGCCCTGAGCTGAACTCATGGCTGGCAAGCACAGTGGCAGTAGTGGGAACCTCTCCTGCCTCCATGGCAGCACTAAAGATGTCTGACAGCTTAGGCCCATGGGGAGCAGTTCTAAGCTGTCAGTCAGACATCCCCCAACGGCTCCCAGACCGTAAGAGGGTGCAGTCCGGACTGAGGGACACCCTCTCCCACGAATGCATGAATTTCGTGCACTGGGCTGCTACACTCTTCATATTGAAGAATGAGATAGGAGAAAGCTGTTTGGAAATCTTTAGGGCATTGGTGGGGAGGAGGGGGGAGGGCTTGCTGACTGGTGGAATACACTGAAGCACAACTGAACAGACTAATATTGGGTTCATTGAAAGAATTCTCAAATAAGGCTAGAGAAAGATGTTTCGATTTCCTGTCCAGACTAGGGGAGTCAAGAACTCTAGAATCTGGGTATTGGAAGGAGGCTGGAGATGTACTACAAAATGTGCAATGTTCCCATAACCCACATGTTTTCAGTCCAAGCTCCTTGTCCATCTCTTCTATACTAAAAGATAGTGATTTTATCATTTTTTGTTTTGTTTTGTTTAATTTCTTCAGGAATGAACCTGCCATCTCTAGTGATGATGAAGGAGAAGCAGTTACCTGCCTGGGTGGTATTGTGTATGGCAAAAGTTTCTTCATCTACATAAAAATAAGTCTACTGCTTTCAGTCCCAAGCCTCAATCCACTTTCTAAAATACCTGGTACCTCAAATTTCTAAGGTTTTGGTATTTTGCTGGGTGAATAAGCTTGTTTCTCATAAGTATTCCCTTCTGTGGGAACTCAGGTTTCTCCTGCTAAGTCAGTTTCCACTTCTCCATCTACTGTTTGATCTCAACTATTGTAATTTGGATTAACAAGGTCTTGAGAGACCTGAATAAAGAGAAATGACCTAGCTACTCAGGAAAACTAGTTCTATGTTTCACTAAGAAGCAAAGGTGACATAAAACTACTCCCTTTAGTCAAGATAAAATAACAGAAAAAATTTTATTACAGATGAGCCCTGGCCAACAACAACCAAAACAAAAAAAACTCCACAGAATCTATAATAATAAAAGCATAATATGCTAATTAGACTTCTGGGATGGAGCCCGAGCTGCAGCTGCTGGAGTGATGCAGCCGCCCATGGCTGTGAGAGAGGATCGAGGCAGCTGTGGCTAAAAAGGCCTACTCATGCACGAATTTCATGCATCGGGTCTCTAGTAAAACACATAACACAATATTCAGCTAAATTAAACTAGCTGTGAGAATAATGGCTCCACAAATGCCAACAGTAATATATTCCTTTGCACTGCTGTTTGTTTTCATGAGTCCAGTCTATAAAATGTCTAATATTTAATGAGAGCTATTACACCGAGTTCTGATGCATTCGTGCTAGAAGTGACAAGACATCTTTTTCAGTCACATCTTCCAATTTCTAAACACCCCTAAATAAGAAAAGTTCTCAGTTAAAACCATATGCAGAATTCCATTGATAATTTGATAATTTTTCAAACTAAAATAGGCAATTCTTTAAGAAAGTTCTGAAGTGATTGTGACAAGAACCCTTTTGAACCTAAAGTGACCCTGTGCTGTGGGCCAGGTGTGAGGCAGTATGGAGGAGAGGGGACTGACACTCTGGAAGACACGGCAGCTAATGCTTAGTTCCGGGTGGTTGTTGGGTGGGAAGATGGGCCAGAGAAGCCAGATCTTCAACTTTTCAAAAGAAGCCAAAAATTTAATTTTTTTAATGTAACGTTACAATTTTTAAATGCTGACACTCTATTTAAAACAAACAAGCAAAAAACCATGTGGTCCAAATAGACTACCAGTTTGTGACCACCTATTTAGACTATCAAATTCTGCCTTATCCACAGGGGGTTCCTGCCCAACAGGAAGATCACTGCAGGCCCTGGACATAAACAGGCACCGCGCATCCAGAGCACGCATGACACCCTTTCATTCATTCCCATCAAGGGAACTCAGAAAACCACTGACACAGCCTCATCTCCTTACCTGCGCCTTTCCAAACTACATCTCAGGCCCTGCTTTTCACTATGCCAGGGGGTCATACATCCTTTATAGACAATTGTATACATAAGAAAATAAAATAAACATTAATAACTCAAAGGATTCACAGAGCATCTTTCTCCTAGGTTGTAATAGCATTCATTCTCCATGTGTATCATGCATTTACGCAATATAGTAACTGGAAAATAAACCTTATTTTTTGTTTACAAGTGAAGGTGACCCAAGATAGCATAATGAAGGTAGTTCTAAAATCGAAATATTCCTCTATTTCATTTTAAGTGACTTCTGAACGAATAACTGTATAAGAATGTCTACAATAACAGCAAGCAGAATGTACTTTTTGTTTCTTTCTTGCACAAAGTAGATGGCTTGTGCTGTGCTGCTTTGATTTATTTTGTTACTCGACAGCACTAGGAGTTGGATTCTACATAAAGAGGCTGCCACTAGCCATTCAATGTTTGTTGTCTGGCTATGAATGTCTGTCAAGGCATCTGCCAAAAACCATTTCTTGGTTTCCTTAACTGTGTAAGTAGCTGAATGAAACCAGGCACTTTCACTTTGTTTTAGCAGCAGATTCTCTTGTACAAGTAAGCTTTGATGTGGAAGGCTAAGATATAAAGCAGATAAAAGTGGAATTACTCTGGTTGAAGGTGTGAGGAAAATATCCAAGAAGCACAAATGTAGCCTTGTCTTCCCTCTACTTCTCTTGGCTCCCTCCTCTTCCCTCTCTCACTCCCCATTCTCCAAGCACCTCAGAATCTCCAAGAAGAGTTCTCTGTGTCGAGTTTGAGACTACTTGATTAGATCATCTTTAATTTCCTTTCTCTCTTAATCTGATTATTCCTTGAATCTATTCTAGGTAATAACGAGAGCAAACCACTGTATCTAAGTAGTCATCTACTCTGATGACTTCTATTTCATTTTCTTTCCTCTTACGTAACACTGAGCTCAACTTTTGATTCGTTTTAATTTTTATAATTTATCAAAAAATCACACTACACATACTTTCTCTGCACATTAAGTTTTGTAACCCTCTTTGATCCATAAAAAATTTTTACTCTCAGGTAATACAGTGAACTCCTATATATATAAACTTAATAGATATAGGTATTAGTGCAATATAACTATATATTATAAACAATACACAACAGATACAATTCTTATATTAAAAAACGTTTTTCAGTCAGTACTGTTTAAATTTTGCTTCTGACTTGGGTGTTTAAAACCAAGATCCTATTCATCAAAACCAAATGCCACCAGAGGCCACTTTATCACTACACTTCAGGGAAAAAATGCATTTAAAAATGATGGGAGCTATAAAACAATCATTAGAAAACTTTTGTGTAACCCAGGTCAAGCTACTTACGTAAAGTGTCCTCAATGACCACACTGTGTATTTAAAAGGAGTGTATTACATTGATTTTTTAATCTTTAAAAACTACTATTCCTCTAAAAGTTACGTTTCAAATCTAAGAACAAAGAACATAAAGTTTTCTTTCAACACAATAATTGCAGTCTACCTGAAAGATCCTGAAATTCAGGCTTTTGACTGAAGATGAGGTAGTTAGTGGCAATGAAATGAAGTAGCCAGGTTGAAAGGCAATCAGAGTGGTGAAACTGCAAGAGAAATGGAAAGTGAAACAGTATTGTAAATAATGACCTTCAATACGGTGATCAGATAAGAGAGAATGGGTCTGGAGAACCCATGGAAAGCCCCAATCCATGTTTAATGTGTCTGAATATATGATGCAGCCTTCAGCCTATTTTGACAACAGAAAGGAAAAGGGAGCATTAATAATAAATAATAATAAAATTACATCGATGGAGACACCAAATCAAATAAATAGCTAGTTATTGCTGCTGCAGTGGCTGAATATCTTTGAGCAGATGTATGGTTGCATCCGTGATTCACAAAGGCTATCTGAGGCTCTTGAAGATTTTGTTTAAGCTTTCAATCTAAGGCCATGGCCTTCACTAACTGCACTTGTATCTGTGCAAGATTATCACCAGCAAAGGTATACACTTGGTCATATCTAAAGAAATTTATCTGAGGAGCAAACTAAAAATTCTTTAGAGGAGGAAGTGTCATCAACCAAAGGTTATGGTGACACTGTGTAAGTATTTCCAAAAGAAGGTTATGTTTGAATAGTTGCTTTAACTCAGATGCACTGTTACACTGAGCAGGATTCCCAGCAGATTTCTCATTCTATTTCAATAGCTAACAGAGGGGGAACTCTGAGCAACTTGGCCATGATAAGTTGGTGCTAATCCAGTGACACTCACTGATGTATGTAACCACTCGATTCAGAGTGTGGTAACTTGGTGGCAGGAAACTTGGATACATGAGTGTAGTAGTTTTTTTTTAAATTATTACAGTAAATTATACATAAAAATTACCATTTTTAAGTGCAACCATCACCACTATCCTCAGAACTTTTTATTATCCAAAACTGAAACTTTTACCCATTAAATAATAAGTCCCCTTTCCCCTTAGCCCTAGTCCCTGGTAATCACTATTTTATTTAACCTTTATGAATTTGACTATTCCAAGTACCTCATATAAGTTGAATTATACAGTATTTGTTCTTTTCAGTCTGGTTTATTTTATTTAGTGTAATGTCCTCAAGGTTCATCCATGTCGCAGCATATATTAAAATTTCATTCTTTTTAAGGATGAGTAATATTCTATTCTATGTACATTCCACACTTCATTTATTCTTTCATTTGTTGATGGACATTTAGGTTGTTCCCACTTTTAGGCTATATATATTATAGCTCTGTTAAGGACAATCAAAATATGTAAAAAATAAGTAATACTAAATTGAAGAAAGAATTGTAATCTCAAATTTTAAGGAAGAAACTCAAGTATTGCTCTTTTAAAAAGTTATAATGTGGGAATATGTTTTAACATTCCAATTCATAGGTCTTTCTGATTCTTATTATTTGAGTTGTATGAAACTTTATAGTTCATCTAATCCCACATCAGATTTTAACAATCTTTTTTTTTACTTTGTATTTTAGCAGATGAATGTGAATTATCTGTAAGGAATAGAGCAAGAACATGTAGCTATTTTAACAGAAGCCACCAACACTATTAGATGATTAACCAGAGCAAATAACCTACCAACAGAATTCAGAACATTGCTGATGGCTGTGACTTTGAAAGAGAAGGGAGATCAAAGAAATAAATAGCTGCCTACAAAAACATAATTCAAATGCAGAATTTTTTTTTACCGAAATTTACGATATCATAAGTGTGGGCTCTTGGCAAGAGATGGGATACTATAAACTTCTTGTGGACAAAAATGTACGCTGAACTGAGAAAGTAGGCTTAAACTTAAATAAACAAAAGAATAAAAAAGAATAGGCATAAAAAAACACACATCTGTAAACCAAATGCTGTAGCATTTAACAGCTCTGTAATGAATAATAATGGTGCAGAAAGTACCTAGAAACTCACCAGGAAAAGATCAGAAACAAAACTGGTGGCCTGAATCAGCCAAATATTAATGCACAGATTATACAGAAGTTGAGTTTAAAACTTTAATATGAGAGTAAACAGGACTTCACAGGAATCACAAAGTTTGGCTAGAAAGGGTTAAAAGTGAAGTGGAGATAAGGAAATCTCTACCTCAACCTGAAGGAACTGGTGGATTAGGGAAAGAAGCCTGTACGTATTTTAAGTTAAGAGTTCAACTTGATAGAAATATATGGACCTAAAAAGTGGAAACAAGGTAAAAAAAAAAAAATGAGAAAGTTTAGGGACAAGTGGAAGTGGAAATGAGAAAATACCAAAACTGCTCATCTATATTGAAGATATGAATGATGCTTTCCTGACACACAGTACACAGCTAGCAGAGATGATGAAAGGATCAGAAATTTCAATTACTCAGAGAGCTACTAAAAGTCTAAATCTGCTAAAACAATTTCACCTCCTAGAAGTCAGAAACAATGAGAAAAAGGTTAACTAAATTCTGACTACAGAATGAACTGGCTAGTGAAGTAGAACCTCAAAGTAGAACCTCCCTAAGTTTCAAAGAGAACTTAGGGAGAAAATTATCCTGTTATCTGGGACCCATAATTCCAAACTAGGGACCATCAGGAATAGAATACTACAGGAAAGCTGATAAATGTAGGCTCAATCTTAGCAAATAGAAACATTATCAGAAACAGTAAAATTTAAAAAGAATTATTTCAGAATTTTAAAATTCAAGAGAAAAATAAGTATAATCACACAATCAGAAACTACACAGGGGGAAATAGATCAGGAAAAATTTATGACAATTCAGTAATAAATGATGCTGGTGATGTGTTTGTGTATGTGTGTGTGTATTTGGGGGGAGGGTCACTTAAAGGAAACCAATGCAATAATACTGGAAATTCTCTTATGTATAAACTATCTACTTAAAAGGATATTACAAGAGGCCCAGGCCAGGTAGCTCAGGTGGTTAGAGCATCATCCCAATATGCCAAGTTACAGGTTCAATCCCTGGTAAGGGCACATATAAGAATCAATCAATGAATGCATAAATAAGTGGAGCAACAAATTGATGTTCTCTCTCTCTCTGTCTCTCTCTCTCTCTCTCTCTCTCAAATTAATAATAAAAAAGGGTACTACAAGATAAGGAAAGAGAAGCTCATATCCAATTTTTTAAAGTATGACAGACTTGTTAGAATAGTCTGAAAATGATACATAAAAAATGAACTGAGATTGTGAAAATACTAGACAGAATAAAAATGCATTTTAAAATTAAATCTAGAGGGTAGCTATTTATCCCATGCTCACTATAAATATATTACAAAGAAGAGCGATCAGGGTTACTTAATTTTTTTATATTTGTTTTTATCTCTAATATTAACTATATATGATCTTATGACTTGATTATGAAAGAAAAGAACTCCAAAATAGTTAAAAAGAGTAAGGAAGACCTGGATGTTTTGAATGAATTCCATTCTATGCCTAGAAATACATGTTGATTAATGAATTCACCTCAGCATACGTTTAGCTGTCTCAGAGTCTGTCCTTTTTTGAATTATGTGTCTCTATTTCAGCAACTTGGATGAAGATAAATTCATCATATTTTTCTAATTCTGGATGTAAACTTTGATAGGAATAGCCAACATGTTGTATGCCAGATAACATTTTATAAAGTTTTGATAGTCTGTAATGATGGAGCGAATATGTTCCCACGAAGTAGACCTTTAAGTTTCAGTTTACTGCAAGGTCAGTACTCATCACTGTGTGTATGACTGCTTCAGGCCCTGAAACTGTCTCAGGGAGTGGGTGAAATGGTAGAATAGCAAAGGGCTGGACGACCCGTCTGCATAAACTTCTTGCTCCCAGAGATAAAAGAGAGAGTGGGAGCCTGGCCAGCGTGTCAGCGGTTGAGCGTCAACCTGTGCACTAGAAGGTCATATGGTTTGATTCCCGGTCGGGGCACATGCCCAGGTTGTGGGCTTGATCCCCAGTGGGGGCCATGCAGGAGACAGCGGATCAACAATTATCTCTCATCATTGATGTTTCTATCTCTCTCTCCCTTTCCTTTCCTTGCTGACACCAATGAAAGAAAACCAACAACATATTAAAGGAGAGTGGGAATAAGGAGATGGTAAATGTCTGACTGGGACAACAGGTGAGAGTTCCAGAAGCAGAGTTCAAGAAAGCAGACCTAGTTTGGTCCTTTGTAAGGTTCATATTCTAGGGTCAGTCACAGTAAGTTGACTGTGTAAAATCTACCTGTTCCTTAGAATGTACAGCAATACAATTATTAAAAACAAAAGGGCTGCCAAAACTGGTTTGCCTCGGTGGACAGAGTGTCAGCCTGCAGACTCCAGGGTCCCAGGTTCGATTCTTGTCAAGGGCATGTACCCTGGTTGCGGGCAAATCCCCAGTAGGGAGTGGAGGCTACAGGAGGCAGTTGATCGATGTTTCTCTCTCATCATGTTTCTATCTCTCTGTCCCTCTCTCTTCCTTTCTGTAAAAAAAATCAATAAAATATATATATATTTTTAAAAAGGGTCCTGAGCTTAGAAGAGGGAAGAAATTCTGAGGAGACAGTAGGTGTACTATAGTGTTTCTCAACTCAAACATTTTTACTAAATATATCCCAGATACCGTGAGACATATCAACAAAGGAGGTTTGAAAGGATTAAGCAGTATACCTATACTTCCTACAAAAAACTGAAACTTCAAAACAGGTTCAGAAAGTGAATGAATTGATGGACAGATAAATGAGTTCAGCCTAATCGTCCTATCAGTTTGTAGGGCCCAATCCTGTCATTTTCCTTTCAGGAACCCTAAGATTTGATCATTTTGGGTAAATTCTATTTCCTATAATGTCTATATGACACAATAGTGCGCCAAACTCAAATGACTCTAGTAATGGCCACCATTCAGTTGAAAAGTTCCCCATCAGCCAATTCTACCTCCTTAGAAAGGGATTGCCCAGAAACCCTATCTCCAAACAAAACTACCTGCCCACAGAAACGGCTGTGAGGGCACTTGAGCCTCACTTAGCCAAACTTCCAAACTAGGAGAGGTACTAACATCTCTCTTAAGAAGATTTTTAAAAATGCAAGCAAGCAGATCCATAGGGCCAGTTACCTTGGCTTTCTTGAGCAGGTCAACTATATCGAGGTTCATGGATGCCAGCTCCCTGCTGGGCATGCTCTGCAGCTGGGTAATGATGAACAGCTCACAGATGTGCTGCAGTCTGGACACCTGGTACATCTCAGCACAGATCAGGAGACACATGGCCTGAAAAATGCCAGCTGATGCAAGGAGGGAAATAGAAGAAAATGGACAATAAAACCATTTATTTTACGGCCTAAGACAAACAGAAAATGCTGACTCTATCATTCAATGCAGAACAGAGTGCCCAGAGAAAACCTTGAAGAAGTCAGCATTCTAAACTCCATTTAAAAAAAGAACTAGTTTAAGCTTTCATACTCAGAAGAGAATCAATGTGTCGTTTTTAATTATCCAGAGAGGGAGATTCTATAATTGCCCTTAATCAAGTCTAGAACTACGGGATAATTCCTTCTGCTCCCTAATCTATATCCTTGCAATTTTTCTCTTTCTTGCTTTAGTTCCAGGTTTGTTTGTTTTGTTTTAATTGTGGTAAAATAAACATAAAATTTACCATTAAGCATTCTTCCAGTTTTACAGAGAAATAACTGACATACATCACTGCTTAAGAGGTAGAGCACGATGGTCTGAATGACATATACTGTGAAATGAATACCACAGTAGGGTTACATAAATATCCATCATCTCATATAGATACAATAAAAAATAAATAAATAAAAATGTCCTTCTTGTGATGAGAAAACTTGGGATCTATAATCATAATAAGTTGCCTATATATCATGCAGCAGTGTTAGCTACAGTCATGCTGTACATTTTTAGACCTTATTTATTGACCACCTTCCTCCAATGCCCCCACCCTACCATCAGCCATTTTTAAGTGTGCAGTTCATTGGTATTAAATCCATTCAAATTGCTGTGCAACCATAACCACTTCACATCTCCAGAACTCAGACATCATTCCAAACTGGAAATGTGTCCACAAACAGGAACTCCCACAGCCTCCTCCCCAATCCTGGCCATTACCCTGGTTGTTGTTTTAACACTTCCTTGTAAATCTGATTTTTTATGTAATTCTCTTATCCCTCCTTAAATGCCTTACTTGCTTCTATAGTTAGGAACCAAGAATGCTGTGCGTGTTATTTAACATAATAAATAGGTTACCTTTCTTTCTGTGATTGTCCCCACGTAAATATCCCAGTGTCTACCTTAATGTTATTCATTTTGACTCATGCCCCCTACACCTTTTACCAATTTGTAAAGAGCTTTGTCCTATAGTTACCAGTGCTTCTCTGAGCATTCTTTCTAATCAGCAGGATAAAACCTAAAAAATCAAAGCACCAATTACTCTAGTGAAGGGATGATGAAGAAACCAAAGTTTCTTATTATTTCAAATCTTGTCCATTTTTTGTTTAATATACGTTTGCCAGTGTCAATATAACATAAACAATAGCAAACACAGGATATCTTCCAAATCTAAAAATCAAGACATCTCCATGTCTAGGGTGCCCATGATGGCTACCATATGCTGTTGGTGCTGGCAGTGACATCTGGACTTATGTCCGACTCAGAGCCCAGGAGAGGTACCCAATCACTGCTCTTCCACTGGAATGGACTGAAAAGTCATTGTTGTCTCAACACTATCTCCACCTGCTTAGCACTCTCCATGGTGTCACCTCTGATAAGACTTGAGTGAAAACAGGTTTTACAGAAAGCAATTTATTTAAATGGCTGACATTTCTAAAAGAGGGAATTGTCAGATATTACCTAACATTTATACTGCTTACCTGGGCAACAGGAGTCCGTGTATAAGTACTCCAGGAATGACAAGAACGTCTCTTTGGAAACACCGTAGACTGGAATCAGAACACTCTTTGCTTCCATATAATTGCCATTGAACATGGCTGCCATCACCTCACACCGAGCCACTAGGATGGCCCTGTGGGCTGGCACCGTTGTACCTGCACAGAAACAGAATTAAGTAAGATAAGCTTGCAGAGTTATTATTCTAGCAACTTTCCTTGTGATTAGAATGGTATTGCATTCGGTACAGTTAAGCTGATTCGTGGAAACCAAATTTGGGAGTGGTAGCCAGTATTAATTCAGAGACTTAATTTTCATTGAAACATAAAGTGTTTAAAAGTTGCCTTTGAAACCAACAATTTTCAAGTCAGGAATTATTTTTTTCCTAGTTTATACTTCATGAGGATAGAAACACTGAAATATTTTGCTTCATCTTACATAATAAAAGCCTAATATAAGGCTTTTATTTTTTATTGTATCTATATGAGATAATGGATATTACGTAAAGTGTTCAGTTGTCCATTCAACCAATCAAAGTGTAATATGATATGCTAAGGCCACACAACTGCTCGCTATGACGAGAACTGACCACCAGGGGACAGACACTCCCACTGGCAGGTTAGCTTGCTGCTGGGATCTAGCCAGTCGGGCGAGAGGGCCAGATACGGACACGCACTAGAGCCCTCCTAAGGTCCCTCCCCAGCTAGCCAACCTCCTGTGTCTTTCCCGGCCCCAATGGTGCACCAGTGGGGTCCCTCATCATGACCTGCGCCCTCTCGCAATCTGGGCTGAGGGACCTCCTCTCCCCCGCACGAATTTTGTGCACCGGGTCTCTAGTGTGTTTATAATGAAACATCTATTTTTTATCTTTTCCAGTTGGCCTGAAATACCACTGCCATTCTTGTCCATGTGCCTCCCAAGAAAACAATGCCATTCTTTTCTTGGCCAAGTCACAGGACAGTCCTGGCCAGACTTCCCTTATCATAAAAAGAAAATAAACCATCCTTGGCCTAAGCAGTCCATACATCACAAGAATGCCCAGGGAATCTCCATGAAGCCAAGGGGAGCATTTCAGATCTTATGGAAAGTTTGCAAGGGAATGGCCTAGTTCCCTGCTGTCTCCCCAGCATACTGTCTCCCACAGGAACCTCTCTTTCCTAAATGAACAATGCATACTTCTGGGAGAGACAGAGCTTCTGTAACTTTTTAAATGCCCCTCAGCCCACGCCTCTCACTGAAGCTCATTAAACTGCACTGACTCTCTAGTAAAAGCTGCTTCCCCAGATCATGCAAAGCTCCAGAGGACACATAAACCCAGAAGCAGTTCTCACCACTCCCAGCAGAATGGGGAGCCATGGATCCACAGCCAGCCCTCAAGTCAGTCTAGATCAGTTCAACAGGTCATTGCTGAGCACCCCTCACCTGCTAATTGCCGTGCTAAGTCCAAAGATACAAAGGTGAGAAAGACAAAGCTGCCCAGCTTAGAAGAAGCCACGCTTTTAGGTGGAAGATACCACAGCCAGTATGAGTGACAAGGCTGTCACCTTCAGAACATAACTATGAGCCAAACCACCCTGCTATGACCAAGAGTCTTCACTATGTTTCCTTCAGATCTCCTTCTCCTCAGGAGCATAGATTCTTCCCTAAAACATTTGCAACCACTGGATTCTTCGCTCTCTGTAAATCTAAGCACAACATCTTTTGGCTCAGGACAGAGTTCCATCGAAGCCCAGTGGCTTTCTCCAAAGCCAATAATCCCTCAGGATTTGGAAGCAAGTCCCAACATCACCAGTGCTGAGCTCACTGTTCGGCACTGATTTGCCAGGCACGCCTCCCACGGGACAGGAAGAAGGGGCCACAGCAAGCTCTGCTACCAGGTCACACACACCTGCTAGCAGATATCCTACCCTCTCGGCCCTTTTAGAGCCTGCCTCTTTGCCTTTAGGCCACCTGCCCTCAATATTAGCATCCATCTATGAAACGACCAGTCTCCATACTCAGTGCCTGCTAGAGATATGTGTACACAGCAACAACAAAGAATGCAAACAGGTAGTGCAATTTGACTTATAAGGTTTTAAAATCTTGAACAGGTTACTATGTTAAAAGAAAAATTTGAAGCATGGCTTACACAAATTAGATACCCTTTCATTTGGGTTAAGCAGAGGAATTTAAGATTGGCCAATCTGACAGGTGTGAGATGGTACCTCATTGTCGTTTTGATTTGCATCTCTCAGGTGATTAGTGACTTTGAGCATGTTTTCATATGCCTCTTGGCCTTCTGTATGTCCTCTTTTGAAAATTGTCTATTTAGGTCTTTTTCCCATTTTTTTTATTGGATTTTTTATCTTCCTTTTGTTAAGTTGTATGAGTTCCCTATAAATTTTGGAGATTAAACCTTTGTTTGAAATAGCATTGGCAAATATGTTCTCCCATGCAGTGGGCTTTCTTTGCTATGCAGAAGCTTTTTATTTTGATGTAGTCCCATTTGTTTATTTTCTCCTTAGTTTGCATTGCCCTAGGAGCTGTATCAGTAAAAATATTGCTACAACATATGTCTGATATTTTGTTGTCTTATGGAGTCTTCTAAAATTTTTATGGTTTCCCACCTTACAATTAAGTCCTTTAACCATTTTGAGTTTCTTTTTGTGTATGGTTATAAGTTGGTGATCTAGTTTCTTTGCATGCTCGTGCCTCTTTTGTCAAATACTAATTGAGCATAATGGCTTGGGTCTATTTCTGGTTTCTCTATTCTGTTCCATTGGTCTGTATGTCTATTCTTGTGCCAGTACCAGGCAGTTTTGAGAACCGTGACTTGGTAATATAGCTTGATATCTGGTATTGTGATCCCTCCTACTTTGGTCATCTTTCTCAGAATTACTGTGGCTATTCGGGTTCTTATCTTATTCCAGATGAATTTTTGGAGAGTTTGTTCTAGGTCTGTGAAATACAAATGACAAGTGCTGGCGAGGCTATGGAGAAAAAGAAACCCTCATGCACTGCTGGTGGGAATGCAGACTGGTGCAGCCACTGTGGAAAACAGTATGGAATTTCCTCAAAAAAGTTACAGATGGAACTCCCATTTGACCCAGTAATCCCACTTCTAGGACTATATCCCAAGAAACCAGAAACACCAATCAGAAAGGATATATGCACCCCTATGTTCATAGCAGTACAATTTACAATAGCTAAGATTTGGAAACCACTTAAGTGCCCATCAGCAGATGAGAGGATTAAAAAACTGTGGTACATCTACACAATGGAATACTATAATATACTACTATAAAAAAGAAGGAACTTTTACCATTTACAACAGCATGGATGGAACTGGAGAGCATTATGCTAAGTGAAATAAAGCAGTCAGAGAAAGAGAAGTATCACATGATCTCACTCATTTGTGGGATATAATGAACATCATAAACTGATGAACAAAAATGGAACCAGAGACAAGGTGGCACTGAGCCGACCATCCAACCTCTGGGAGAAGGCAGGGAAGAGTTAGAGATCAACCAAAGGACTTGTATGCATGCATTATTAGCATGACCAATGGACACAGACACTTCGGGGGTGGGGCTTGTCCTCAGGGGTGGGAGTGGTGAGGGGTTTATTGGAGGGAAAAAAGGAGACATGTAATACTTTAAACAATAAAAGTTGTTGGATTTTGAAAAAGAAAAAAGGAAAAAAAGATTGGCCAAAAATACCAAGTGGATAGTAGATGGGAAAGGAATTTGAGAATCTTGGAATTTTAACAGAAAATTTCCATTTATAATGTGATTACAAAATCAGCAACAAAAGGCTCAATACCTTTTGTATTGGAATTTGGTTTAGAAAACCATTTTACCTCCAGTTAAGGAAAGATCAACTTCTCTTTCTAACCTTTTCAAACTACTGTTTTGGTGTTATAAATTGTTCTATTGTGAAACTGTAATATTAGTATCTCAGTATAGTCACATTTCTAAACACTGTATATAAATTATATAAATATATAAATACTGCACAAAACTTGCTGAAAAAACATAATGCAGTGTTTATATACTAAACAGCTGTAGATTAGAGCTGAAGTATTACTCAGGGAGGAAAAAAATACATCAATTTTCTGGTTAAAAGATAAATAAGTTCTTTGAAAATGTCACGACCAAAAGTGTTTTTCCTATAGAATCTAATTGCTGTTATAGTTTTAAGAAACTTTTTTTTTAAGGAAAAGAGTTTTAAGAGTGAAACAAAATTTAAAAGACCAAATTTTCTAATAATTTAGCATAGATTATCAAAGGTCTTTGTTTTTATTATATACTAAAATAAAATGCTACATTTGTAATACTTCTTCATATCACTTGCCAAGATTTAAAAATAAAAATGTTAGAAATGTTTTTGTTTTATTCTGAAAATAGTAAATTTGCCTATTCCAAGGGAGATTCAGAATATGTACTACTTAAGTAAACAGGGACAGAATGTAAGAGTATTTTTAACGAGACACAGCTTCCAATGTCAAAGGGAAACGCATATCTTTCCATATCAGGTCTAAATGTTTACCAAGACTAGCCTTGGAACTGCCAGGTGGTTTCTTTAAAAATGACTTCACGGAAGAAGACACAAACCCACACAAACAAATTGGGGGTGGCAGTATTTTTTTTTATTACTATCTATTGCAGAGATGGTAAATAGGTTTTATATCCCACGTCACCTCCAGCCAGTTGCTGATGATGGCTGAGAACATTTTAAAAGAAGGATTTGTTGAGGCTCTGGGTTCAGGAAGAAATAGCACATCAATCCGGCAGAGTTGGCTGCCAGTGCAGAGGGAGAGGAGGGGTCTACCAGGCAGGCCTCTATCTACACCTTTATTTATTTTTTATTTTTCTTCAATCTGAAATAAGTTTTATTTTTTAACTTTACTGCTCTCTGCACCTTTATACACACCGTCTCAATCCCTGTGACCACGCTACCAGGTGGAAATTAGTATCCCCATGTTATAGGCGAGGAGACAAAGGATCAGAAATGTAAAGTAAGACAGCCAAACCTATTATATAGTAAACTAGAGGCCTGATGCATGAAAATTTGTGCAAGAGTAGGCCTTCCTTCCCCCGGCTGCTGGCACCAGATTCCTTCCAGCACCCAGGACCTGGGCTTCTCCCCTCCTGCTGCCTGCAGGCACAGGGGACCTGGGCTGGCTTCCCTCAGGCAGCCTGCAGGCACCTGGGACCCGGGCTGACTTCCCTCCAGCCCTGGCTTCGTCAGGAAGGTTGTCGGTCTAATTAGCATATTACCCTTTTATTATTATAGATATGCATCCAAGCAATATCCAAGCCAGGTCTTCTAGTCCCTGCCACTACCACTTCATCAAGCTCAACACTAAAAAGGACCATTTTAGAATCTATACGGTTTACCTTCTTCCCTCTGCAAAGGCCAGAAGTGTTGAGTGACTTGTCCAAGGACACACACACGGGTTGGAATGCAAGGCCAAGGCTGGAGCTAGGGCTCCAGCACGAGGGCTCGGCCTCCTCTGGGAGACAGTACTCCTGCCCTCCACCCCGGCAAGCTTCCTGCCACACTCTTCAGAAGGGAGGCTTGTCTTTCCTCCAGATGATGTCAGAGAAACTGTCGTGGCACCCTGCGTCAACCATTCCTGCTTCTCTCTGCTCCTCACTCCCCGGGAAGCCTGGGCTTTGGAGCTGGAGAGGCTAGAGCCCCCCGCAGTGCTGCTGGGCACCAGCACAGGCACCCACACAACCAGTCCTCTGGGCCCAGGCTCTGCACAGGTGGGCGGAGCAGGCGCCTGCGGAAGGGCCTAGGGGTGGAATCGTGGAAGAAATGCAAGCAAGTATGAGGAGAAAGGTTCTCCATGTCACTGCTTATTTCTTTTCTTTTAATAGAACATATTTTCACGAGTTTCACATTCCTTTTGAAAATCTTTTTAATAGGTCACACTGACATAGGTTTCAATGCCTCCTGTGCTACTATTAAACAGGTATGTTAATGGCTCTTGTGTAAAGAGGCAAATCTGGTCTCCTATTCACTTTCTTTTTCCCCAAAAATCATTTTTTTGTGCATTTCAAGGTGACTCTTATTGTCCCATTTTCAGTGCCCCACGCTCACACTGCAGACAGTGCCAGCGGTAGCTTCTCAGAAGGCACTTGGGAACATTTCCAGTTCGCTGTTAGCCTTGGTAGGTGGCCAAATGGAAAAGTAAAACAGATCTTTCTGGGGAACGTTTTTAAAAAGTAAATGACTGTTGGCTGTCATACATTTCTACCGTAAGACAAAAACTATATCTTCCTCTTAGTGATAGCCCACCTGAAGTTCTACTTATTCCGCTTAAAAACAACTCTTTCTAGCCTTGCATAATTGAAGGTATATGACAATTCATTTTTAAGATGATGCTCTTAATCTACTCAAGTGACAGAATTATCCAAGTGAATAATCAATAATGGGCTTTAAAGCAGCTCCTCGTAATTAAAATTAAGTAGCATTACTTTCCTACAGAGATAAAAAGCAGCTCTCAGTTCTGGTGATGATTCTCAGAGTGCTGGGAGGAGTAAATGTAGCCCTTTTCTGTAGACGCCTAATCTAAGCCAGGCATGACCCTCAGCCATGGCTGTTCCTGTTGCTCAAATAACAACTAAGAGAGCTGAATAAGAAGCAATATAATTTTAAGGGGACTGGTTTCAGATAATTAAAACAAGGCTCTTTAAAAGAAATACACAAACAAAAAAATTTTATTTCATATTAAAGTTCACCTTGCTGGTCCCTAAAAGTTAATGAAACATATGGTAAAAGGAAAAAAATCTAAGAAAAATATAAATTTATTTTCTTATTTTAATAAACCCCTTCATTATCCTAGAATATTTTGTTGAACTTTAGGCAGAGTTAATCTATGTCCTGCAATAGAGAAAAATCATTCCTACACCCTAAATATTCAAAGCTGAAACAGAAAGGTAAGAAAACAGGGAGTAAAAATAATCAGCTTTGTAAAAACGGAAGCATACCTTGTATTTCGAAGACAACATCAGCAAGCATCGGTTTATTAAGGAAAAACTTAAGGGAAGTGCTATAAAACCACAGAGGTTTTCTGGCTTGATAGGTTTTACAATTCCTCAGGCAATTAATCTGTAAGGAAAAACAGAAATACAAGAGTGAATGTTATCCAAAAAGCTTTGATAGCATATATGGGCTAATTAGAGAATTTGGAAAATGGTGCTAAATGTTTAAATGAGTACCTATGGCCTCTTTCATCACAGTTTTAACCATGCCTTCTACCTGCCAAAGAGCAGCACTGCACTGTGCAGCATTCATAGCAGTGAAATGAACTGGCTACGTGAAAACTCAACTCTATGGCTGGGAGCTGTGGGGTCCTGAGTCCCGGGAGGCTGTTACCTGGGAAACAGACAACAGCAATCCCACCTCACATGATTGCCCAGAAAAACATGTTTACATATACAACTTGCTCATCTGTTCACTAATTAAGAAAGTATCTACACAAAATCCAAAATGTGATTAAAAAAAAAACCAAAAAACCTATTTCCCCCTGATCACTCCATGTTCTATTTTAGATCTCTATGAAAATACCCAAGAGTGAAGAATTGGTTCATCGACAATTTTATAATTCTAAGTACCAGGCCCTCCCAGAGCAGGGACTGCTGAAACCTGCCACAGGTGTCCGGGATCTCCAATCTAGGGCCCCGGGACTTCTCCCAGGACTACGACATCTGTCCTCCCGCACCCTCGCTCCAGGCCCCCCGCCCCCCTCGAGGAACAGTGCCCGTCTGACCTAGGGGTCCCCAGCCTTTCTCGGCTGGCAACTCGGGGATTTGGGTGCTTTGTTTATCCGTTCTTGCCATCTTCCCTCACCCTCCACCCATTCCTCTGATGAATCTCATAACCTCACTCTGACCTCTGCTTGCCTAGCTGGGGAATACAGAAAGACTTAGCACTAAAAAAAAAATAATTGGGCATACAATTTTAGTATTAAGGATACATGTCATCGGCTTCCCACTCTGGATTAATCTACTACAGTGAGACTTTAAAATATCTGACGAGGGGAAAAAAATATTAACCTTCTTCACAAGGACAAAGAAAACACTCCAGAATGTTATCTGTGAGCAAGACAGGAGAGCAAAACAGGACCATACCAATGCTGGTCCTACAGAGAGCGTGCTGATCCTATACACAATGCACCTCCACACACACACTGAAGGGGCCGATGGAGAGCCTTCAAGTGAGTGTCACACATGAAAGAGAGCAACCGTGAAAGCATCACAAAATCGGGGAGCTAGCAGGACCCTCAGAAGCCACCCGCTTACCGCTCCTTTTATAGACAGCCCCGAGAAGACGTGCACAAAGCCACAGAGATAATTCGTGGCAGCACAGTTTAAATGTACCTTTCCTGCTTCCCAGTCCCTGCGCCACTCTGAAAGAATGAGAGACCCTTACCCCTGGAAAGCACAGGAAGAGGACCTCTTCTTTCCTGCCAGGCCCACCAGGGGATTTAGTTCAAAATCACGGATTCAAATAGCCTCAGCCTCCCTTTCCCCAACAAGAGTCCGTTTTATTCTTCGTACTCAAAGGAATGACTGTGTTCAGACACAAACCCAGCGAAGGCTTGGCTTAGAACAAACGACAACACTTGTGTCCTAACCACTCACACGTACAGGGTATGAGTTTGTATATCATGAAGATTCCTTTGCCACCTATGCCTTGCGATGAGAGGGCAGAAGTTTGGATGTACATTTTCAATGGTCCATAACCCAGATAACCTAGAAAACTTTCGAAAAAAAATGAATGCAGGCTTATGGGCAGATTTCTACAAAAGCATTCAAAACATATCCTTGGATAAGGATTAAAAAAAAATGTGAACAGCTTAGATTGTAGAACTGACAAAGTCATCTGTATAAAAAAATTAAAGGAATAATGGTTCTTACATTTAATGTAAAACTATATTCTGCTAGGCATTGCACATAACTTACCTTTCTATCTACTGTAGCCAGTTTGTTGATCACAGAATGTGAAATAAGAATACCCTGGCTAACCTGTGTAACGCAGTTGTTCTAAAATGTAGCACATTTGCTGTTAAAGCCTTGCAGACTCTGCACAGTCTGGGTGACGGGAGGTTTAATGTGCACAGCATCTAGCCGTACGAAAAGTCTGCTTTTTTATAACCTGTGAATCTAACTTTTACTTTTGAGCCTGTGTTAGATGAAATATAAGTCTTTAACCGGTCACTTCCCAAAGAGATTCCTCAGAACTCTTGAAAAAGGCCTTGTTCTGAATATTCCAGAGTATTGGGGGAATGTTTCAGAGGAAGGAACCCACAAGTCAGCATTTTCAAGAAATGACTTGCACGTATTTTAATTCTTACACGAAATAATGTGTTCACATTTGAAATATTTAAAAGGTTAAAATAGCCGAAACCGGTTTGGCTCAGTGGATAGAGCGTTGGCCTGGGAACTGAAAGGTCCCGGGTTCGATTCCGGTCAAGGGCATGTACCTTGGTTGCGGGCACATCCCCAGTAGGGGCTGTGCAAGAGGCAGCTGATCGATGACTCTCTCATCGATGTTTCTAACTCGCTATCTCTCTCCCTTCCTCTGTACAAAATCAATAAAATATATATTTAAAAGGTAAAAATACGCTTAAGGAAAACATTTGTAAATGATTGAGTCTTTTCGTGACTCAGTATCATATTCATTATATCACTTACAATTTAGAGAAAGTAAAAATAAACTTACAAAAACTAACTTACCTTTCCTGGTGTTTTTAAAATGCATTTAACTTTCTCCATTACATTTGAAACATCCCCAGAATCTTTCAACTTCTTCCGGATATCTTCTTCCAATTCTTCCCATTGGAAAGCACCTGTAAACAAATGACATGCATACTGACTTTTTCTGTTAAAACGGGAAGAAAGGTATCTTATTAGAAATCCATGTTCCCCAACCTAAGGCAGGCACAGTCGCAGAGGGGCCATCAGGAGAGAACTTGGAGGTCAACAGAGGTGGGGCACAGACCCTTACCAACCCCCCCTGCAATATGGCAGGCGCCTGAACCTTCTCCCATTCTGAGGGAGGTCTCCTGCCCCCTTGGCTGCGTCGCTTCCCATGCACAGCTCAAAGTGGGACCCAGGTAACAGACAGAGACTTGGCTGACAGCAGCTGCCCTCTCACTGCAACAAGACTTATTTGAGAGGGTCTCATACCCATGGTGTGGGCAAGTGGGTTTTTAATATCCAGGTCCAGCCTAGCAGCAGGAATCCTCAGGCCCTTTTCAAGAAGGGAAATAATCAACTCCACTAATACACAGATGATAAATGAGATTGATGCTAGAGTGTTGAGTATGACAGATGGTAGCCAATTTCTCAGAGGAAATTAATGTGGCTAATGGAAATAAATGAATATTCTAAAACAAAACAAAACAAAACAAAAAACAGCTGATTGTACTGTTCAAAAAGCTGTTCCTAATGGGTTAACAAAAATTCTTATAGGTAGAGCGGCCACGGTAAAATTGCACAACATGTTATGAATCTAAAGTAGTCATAGTGTAGCGCAACTAACTTAAAATGTAAAAGCTATCAAGACTACAGTATAAAATTTCCAAAAGTTTCCTATTATTTAAAGTAAAAAAGGGGGTGACAGTGGAAGAATATCATGTAAGGAAATATATCCTGATAATAATTTACATCTAAAAAAATTTGTGCTTTAGAAAATTATCCTTCATTCGAAACGCTAATAGCAAGATACCCATGAAAATACACACATGGTGACAAAACAAGCCAGGGGAAAATCATTTGGGGGAGGGGGGGGGAATGAAAAAGAATCTCAAATAAAGTTTAAAGAAAATATCCCTTTATTAACTTTTGGTCGAGAATATGTTTGTATATTTTCAGAAAACAACTCTGAGACCATCTGGAATTCTGTAACAGAGAGGAATAGACAGAAGCACTCCAGCCATGAAGACAGAAGAGACACAATTCAGAGATGGAAGATGCTGACGACGCCTCAGCATACCAGCAGACAGCAGCCCAGGACCAAACCAGAAACAGGCGGGCCTGCATTACCGCCATTTGTCCACCAACCAGATCTGAAATATCATGGCTGGCATGTACACATACAGAACTATCTGGCATTGAAATTGGGACGCAAAAGAACTGTTGGCCCAGAAAGGAACTCACTACAGACTGATTCATTTACCTCTCAGCATAACAATTATGGCTTGTTGCAGTTTAGGTTCTTACAAGGATCACATGATCTCACCCATCTAGAGGAAATAACGAACAACACAAACAGACCCGGAGAAAGAGAACCAGCTATCAGACTCTCAAACCTCAGAGGGAAAGTAAGGGGGGATGGGGGTAAGGGGAAGAGATCAACCAAAGGACTTGTGTGCATACATATGGGCCTAGCCAGTGGCCATGGACAATGGGGGGGGGGGGGGGCAGCATATCTAGGGAGGGGTTTGATGAGAATGGGGGGATAAGGACAATTATGTGAGACCATAATTAATTTTAAAAAAAAGAATCTAAGTTCCAAATCAAAACATAAGAAAGAAGAAAAGAAAAAAAGAAGAAATCCATGCTCCCTCTTTTTTAGTATTCTAATTTTCCTTTACCAAATATATATCCTTGTAATGACACCAAAACATTTAAACAACTCTCACATTTTCAAAAAAATCAGTTTGCCCTCCCTTTAGTTATCCCAAACCTAGTCTTCGTCCTCAGAGAGCTGCCACCTTTCTGCAGTCGGTGGTCAGCTGGCGGTAACAGCAATGGCCAGGAGGTGAGTTACCACACAAATAGTCCAACACCCAAATTATGTACTGGTCCTGGGCAAGAAGGCGGACCTGGTCTTTCCTCAGGTTGAATAACTCACAGGATCATGGAGAGCAGTGACTGTCCCCGGGCAGAATGCACTGTCAGGGTCACATTAAGATGTTTCATAGCCACCTCTACAGACCAACCAGAAGAGGGGCAGCTAGACAATTTTCTGAAGAGCCACACGACAATGGCATTGGAGCAAAATCTCCCCACCTAGTCCCTCACTCCTCTGGCCTCAGCCTGACCCACTTCCCAGTTCTCTCTTCCTGGGCTCACGTCACTTCTGTGTCATACTCTGTCAGCCCTTTCCCCTCGATGTTTTGAGGAATTCCCACTGTATGGTCCGCATAAGTTCAACTTTTCCACACACACTCCTCTCCGTTGGCCTAGAGCAGCATCCCTGCTCCCTAGTGGCCTTTCCCCTCCGATCTATCCCCTTACTCAATGCTGATAGGTTTCAATCCTGACCATGATATTCCAGGAGACTATCCTCCTCCACTTCATGGTTTATAGGAAGTCCTACCTCCTAAAAATGGAATTTAAAAAGATGTGCTGTGGGAGTTGGCATAGTTGGGGGACCCAGTTCCTAGTTCTATCTCTGCCATTAATTACTGGTGTGACTTTAAGCAAGTAACTTGTGGTCCTATTCCCTATGCTCTCAACGTGTCTCTTACGACGTTTCCCTTTATGTATCTAGAACTTTGCCAGATGCCTTCATCGATACTGCGGACGGCAGAGGGCACATAACAACCATGTACAGAACCATGAGGTCAGGCAATGGCAGCCAGTCTGTCCCAGTGGGATCCACGTATGATCTGAAGAACCAGACTGGTAGTCCTGCCGCTCTCAGGCTTCAGACAGAAGAGCCCCTCAGCACTCGGTACTCACGCACATCTTTAAACTTCTCCCCCAACCCCCTGCCTTTACGATGACTACAGAGTACGTGGTGGGATGGGGCAGGGGAAGGACAGCCCTGGTTTGAAGTGTGTGCTGTTTCTGTGGTGAAGATACTCTTACCAAGGCCATATTCAAGCTACCAACGTGACATCCAGAACACAGAATTGGGCATAAACGCGATCGGCTCTCACAAGGCGGTGCCAGCTGGCTCCAGCACACTCTCCTACTTCCTTCCTTAAACTGCTCTTTTTCCGACTTCACTCTGAGCTCCCCATCCACCTGATTCCCAAAGGTGTGCAGTCCAGGACAAATCTGTAGTTTCTGTTTTCCTCTCCCTGCACTGATGATTTTTAATGTCAAGGTCACACATACTCTTTTCACAAGCTGATAAATTCTTTGCATTGTCTCCAGAAATTGCACACGCACAGATAGACATTAAAGTCTACATACAATGTCAGAAGTAAGAGCCCTTTATAAGCCAAGGGATGCCAGGCCAATAAGATGTATTCTACGCCAGTGGTTCTCAAGTCTGGCTATGCATTACATTTACCTAAATACTTTTTACAAACCCCTGGCCACTGGCTCAGTGGTGAGAGCATCGGCGTGGACCAAAGGCTATAAGGTCTGATTCCTGGTCAAGGGCACGGACCTTGGTTGCAGGTTTCCCAGTCTCTAGTAGGGGTGAATGTGAGAGGCAACCAATCATGTGTCTTTTATAAAATAGATCATTTACAAAATATTATGAGAGAAGGTCTCAGCCTCAGACAAACTGAATTAAAAATTTCTGGTGCAGGGCCCCAGACATTGATTTTAAAAAAATATATATATATTTTGTTGATTTTTCACAGAGAGGAAGGGAAAGGGAGAGAAAGTTAGAAACATCAATGAGAGAGAAACATCAATCAGCTGCCTCCTGCACACCCCATACTGGGGAATGTGCTGGCAACCAAGGTACATGCCCTTGACCAGAATCGAACCTGGGACCCTTGAGTCCACAAGCCAATGCTCTATCCACTGAACCAAACCAGTTAGGCCTTCAGACATTGATTTGAAAAGCATCCCAGCTTAATCTAATGTGTACTTCCCTTAGACATTTCACCCATTGCCAAAACCCAGGGTTAGTGGCATGCAGCAAACAGTAAGTGCGAGTTCCTGTGATTGTTTACACTCATGCTATTAAGGGAGAGCACAGACATTGTCTCTTAAAAGTAAAATTATGTTAACTAAAGAACACCTATACAATATCTCTAGTCAGAAGATTACGTGAAAGAAAGCAATCATCAAATCTAAATAGATGGGATTAATGGCAGGTAAATCCCCACAGGCCATGAATCTGTTTAAGAACTGACACAGAAAGATCCAATAACCTAAACCAGAATGAAGACTAGTTCATAAGAGCAGTCTCTTAATAATTAGAAATACTAACTAATCATCTCTGACACGTTTAGGTCCTAATAAAGCAATAATCCTTCGGCTGGGATTTGTTTATTTGTTTTTGTTTTTTTACTATGATAAAACTATTAAGCATGAACTCTATGCCCTTCCCAGAATTTTAAGTGTTCAATACAGTATCTGTTAACAATGGGCATGATGTTGTATGCACAGATCCCTAGAACTTACTTGTCTTGTATAACTGGCTGGAATTTCCTTTAACTTCTCCGAACATTTATTTACTTTATTTAGACTCTTCGAGTGCATAGCATACCTTTGTGTCTGAAGCTAAATTTTTATGCAGTGCAGAAAAAAGCGTGCCGCAGAATAATTCCAAGTGCTGACATATATACTATGCAAACTGAAGATGAAAATGTGCTTCCACATATTCATTTACCCTGATGGGATATTTCAATGAGTGATGTGAAATTCTAAGGGCCATCTGTGGCAGGAAGAGCTCAAGCTAAATTCTTGAGGCTCTTACAAATATTTCAATTCATAACCATCTGAGGTCGTGTGACTCAGGAATGTGCAAGCATAAAGACTGCAGTGAGGAGCACAGTAAGGCTGTAAGAATGTTGCAGCTGTATGCCATTTAAGGATTGCTCCACGAAGACCGGGAAACGGCTGCCTCACTGTCCAGATCACTCCTTCTTTAGCGTTAGTCAGTCAGGACTTACACATCACGCAGGGCTAGCCACTGTCCAGTGGAGACTTAACATGTACAGAGCACCCGTACTTTTACGGTATCTACTCAGAAATGTGGATAGAAAAATAAACCGAAACCTGATAGGTGTAATGTGTTAACCCGACTATTACACAGGCCCTTCTTTTTCATTTCAAATTCCTAAAGATAAAAAAGGGGGGTTATTTTTTAAAAACTAAGGTATTCTTTGTAATTTGGTTCATTAACAATAAGGCTAGGAGATAGACTTTATATGGGTTTTCAGCCACGTGTGCTCAGGGCAAATATTCCAAGTGCGCCACATCCTGGACTTCTACCTCTGCGCTGCCAGCCCAGCTAACGTGAGTACAGACAGCTCCTACTAACAGCTGTGGGGAGGCTTCTGTGAGGGAACCGTTACATAACTGGGTCTTAGAACCTGTGCACTGTTCAAGTTTTTAAATGTTTAACAAACAACAAGAAAAAAAAATAAACAAACAACAAAAAAAAAAACAGCTCACAAACCTGGCCTCCTTACTGAAGTCTCTCAAAAAAAAAGAAAAAAAAAGTAGGTTTAAATTTTTTGTTTGATTTGATAGAAAAATATATTAAAATAAAACATAAACTAAGTCAATAAAAAACATTAATAAATTTCTAGGCATTTGGATAGTGGGATTCTGATGTTTTTTCTCCATACATTTTCTGCATTTTAAAAAATTTGTCTTCACTATGGAAATAGAGCCTTAATATCTGTTAAGCATAACTCAGGTAATATAACTTTTGCTTGGGTCTGAGGTTACACTTTGTAAATCATTGAGAACAATGCACAGGTGCCTTACTGAAGCACTGGGGTCTCCCTTACAGTCCCAGGTCAAGGGCCTGTGGCCCTGGCTCAGACCTGACACCACCTCTTGCTGGGCTGTGACTTATAGGAAACATCAGAACAGAAATGCAACAGCTCAGTGTCAGACTAAGAAGCCAGAGTGCTGAACTGGCAAAGGAGATCAGTAAGCTCTCCCGGTCTGTGGCCCGAGGCCCTCTCCTTGCTATTCCCAGGCTCGCTTAGTTCCCACCCAGCCACTAAGAACCACTCCCCCAGCTTCAGGAAGGGATACAGCAGGGCACCGAGGGCCCCAGCTCCAAACAGCTCTGCATCGGTCAGCCTTGCAGCGGATCCCGTTTTGATTTTGGCACTAAAACTGAGGGCTCCTTTCCTGGGTCTCTGGAGCGAATTCCAGGTCCTTATGCCCTGGTTACGGCTGTCCCCAGTTCTTCCAAGAGGTGTTGCAACTGCCGTGGTCAATCACCCCCTGGGAGACTTGGGAATGCAGACTCTGGTGCCCACCCTGGGTCTACGGAGTCACACCCTGAACATTATCAAGATCGTGTGCGCACTTTAAGGTTTGAAAAGCACTGGCCCAGATGATGGACAAACCGCAACCCAACCACCTGTTGTCAGATGTTGGCCTTCTGGAGGTAGATCGCGAGTGAGGGGGCCTCGGGATTGGACTTCTGTCTTGTTTGCTCTATTCACTCCTCCCTCCCTCACTGGAGATGAGTTTCCTAAAGCCCAGTCTGGCCATGCTTAAAACCCCAGAACCACTTGTAAGAACAGTAAACACTGGTCTGGCCAGCCTCATCTCCTTCCAGCCAACACCTCCCACTCTTGCTCCAGCCACAGGGAACTGCTGGTGGTTCCTGGGAAACAGCAGTTACCAAAGATTACATTTTCATTAATGCAAATTTCCCAATATGTAATTTCTTTCAAACAGCATTAGGGGGAACATGTGAAAACCCGGTAACAGGTCATTGACTCTGGGGAAGGGAACTGGGGGATGAGGAGTACTTGTCTTTTTCCTTTCTCCCTTCCTCCTATCTGCATGTATTCATTTTGCAATTTAGAAAAATGACTCCCTAGGAGAAGACAAGCAGGTCTGTCACTGGAGAGACAGCTAGCAATTTTACTGCTACAATATTAGAGGATATAACTGACCTCAAAGTGCTCATGTGCCTTCAAAAGTCTTCAGTATGCGGGAAACTTGCTGAATAATTCATAATTACAACAATAAAATCATTGAAAGGGGCAGTCAACACTTCCTTCATAGTTTTCTAAACATATCATTAAAGTAATTTTCTTAACATGTAAACATTTTGTTTTTACACAATTGGTCTTAAATTATGCACTGTGAGATTCTAGGTTTAAACATAAAAATCCATAGAACCAAATGAAGTCTTTAGTCTGGTTTAAACATACGATTCCCCATTCCTGGAGCCTATTCATTAGTTTCACCGACACTGGCAGAGAACCCTCCATGCTAAAGGCACCGTGCTGTGTGCCCTGTGAGAGAGATTATTTATGCCTTTTCCAAGTCAATAGTCACTGAACAATGAATACTGTTTATTGTTCAATTAACACCTACTACCACATTCTACTCCAATATATTTATACTAGAGTCCCAGTGGATGAATTCGTGCACCAGTGGGGTCCCTAGGCCTGGCCCACAATCAGGGCCAATCAAGGTCAGGCCGATTGGGGCCTGTCAGCCCTGGCGGAGGGGGGGCGGGGGGGGGGGTGGAGATAGGGAATGGGAGGTTGGTCGACAGCCCCATGGAGGGAGCTGGTCCTCAGCCCCCCTGGTTAAGGGACCACATTTGCCGTCACCCACCCCCGGTTACCCCATCCCAGCCCAGGACCAAAGGGTCAAGAGAGGGAGCGATGGTTGCAGGCCAGACACAGAAGGAATGACACTGCCACTGATGCTGCCAGCCAGCTGCAGGAGTTTGGCTGTGGGAGTGCACTGACCACCAGGGGGCAGCTCCTGTGTCTGCCCCCTGGTGGTCAGTGTGCATCATAGCAACTGGTTAACCTGTGTTTTGGTCGTTGGGTCATAATGGCCGCTTAGGCTTTTATAGATAGATAGATAGATAGATAGATAGATAGATAGATAGATAGATAGTAGGTAGGTAGATAGATAGATAGATAGATAGACAGACAGATAGATTTTAACCCACTAAAATCTGCATGCTGCAACTGTACTTTTCACAACCATTACTTATTTATTTTTGTTGATCCTCACCCGAGGATATTTTTTCTATTACTTTTTCAGAGAAAGTGAAAGGAGAGAGGAAGGGAGAGAGGATAGGGAGAGAGGAAGAGAAACGGAAAGAGAGAGAAACATTGATGTGAGAGAGACATCAACTGGTTGCCTCCTGCACACACACACACCCTGACCCACTCCAAACCCACAACCCAGGTATGTACATGCCCTTGACCAGGAATCATACTTGAGACTCTTTGGTGCCCAGGCTGATGCTCTAACTGCTGAACTTTACAGGCCATGGACAACCATTAATTTTTAACTGAAAATTATATAACTATAGCCACAATGAACAAAATAAAATCTTATTTTTAGCATCAATTATTTCAACTGAAGGGCTACTCAAAACTTTCTTACCTACAGGAAACTATACTTCTCTATTTGCAAACCTTTATAAGCTTCATCTCTGTTCCCAATTCTGATGTCTAAAAATGGACTATAAATGTTTCTCCAGACACATTTGAGAGGAGTGACCTTAACCTAATATTTCATTAACATGTGATAAGTCCTCAGAATATATATATTTAGATACTTTAAAAGTCCTTTTACATTCGTTCTTTTCCATTCCCATATGGGACACTCAGATGTGAGACCATCAATTCAGTTGATAAAATGCCTGTGGTAAAATTTCTATTCTTTAAAATATAGTTGCTCCTAGGTCTTTAAAAGGATAAGGAGAAAAATAATGAATAAGCTGAATCCTAAAAAAGTAAGAGCACAGTAAGAAGAAAAAAGTCTAAAATAGTCATAGCCAAAACTGATCAGATCTCAGCCTAAACTACCTGATAGTGCTATTTCTATTTCCTAAACAGAATGCAATGACCCTGCTAATTTCTCTCCTCATTCCCTCCCCAAATCTAAGAGTCAAACAGAAAGGGGAACATGTAGCTAGGTTTTAAGATACAGACACTTATTTTGATATACACCTGGACAATGTTATTTCTTTAAAGTTAAACTGGACAATAACTTCTTGTATTTTCAAGAAGTTATTGTATTTTCTTGCTTAGTATGAAAAGAGATTATTTTTTATACAAGAGGATGTAAAACCAGGCCAAATAAACCAGTAAGGAAGATGGAAAGCCTGGAACAATTCATGGGCATAAAGCCAATACGATTTTTTATGTATAATCTTCACTCCAGATGACAGGAAGAAAATAAGTGTGAAAACACTTGAGGACCACAGACATACCTCATTTCAATAGCCTAAGAGAATGTACCAGAGCCATCGGACAAGATACCTGAATAAATGAAGCGCAGGATGTCCGATAGACACGAACAGAAGAGGGCGTCTTTAACGATGACTCGGAGTGGTGGGTTGCCTGGAGAGTCCGGGCTAGCACCTGGGAACACAGCCTCCCTGTTTATAGCAAACAGATCCTGGGCTGTGCGGATGATACTGGAATCCTGGATGTCAGCAGGACTCTTCACATTGAAAAGCAGCATGAACACGTGGCTTACGGCGCAGAGGACGATCTTGTGGGCCTCCACCACCTCCTTCAGGTCTGGGTTGTAAAACACCACGTCCACACACTGGCAGCAGAACAGCAGGTTGTGCAAGTCAGAGTTATAATGCGAGGCTTCGGCCTTCAGGACGGGCATTTTTTCTGTTTCAAGACAGAAAATGACTCTCTTAGGTCTCCAGACCAATCATTTCAGGTTTACAACAAAACATATTTTTTAATAGTATTTGGCTGAATCATGCAAAATTGCCAATATTTGGCCATTTTTTACCTACAAAACCAGCAATTTTATATAAGTTTAATCAATTAAAAACATAAAACTAATGATCCAAGGACTGTAAAATTTCATAACTCAGACACAGAAATGCTGTACTTTTATAGTGCCAACAAAAAAACCATTAACGCCATAAGGAGCAATAACATTTCTCATTATGTCTGTGCCCCCAAATAAAACACTGCTCCAAATACTGAATTTTAGTATGTTGATAGTCATCATTTTTTACTGTCACCTGTCAAAAATGCAAACAAATTATTGAATAAGTCTCGAAAATGACATGGGAAGTCATTTTCCTCCTAGGACTAGAAATGGGGAAATAAATCATTAAAACTGCAACTTCTACTGAAACCAGTTTGGCTTAGTGGATAGAGCATTGGCCTGCAGACTGAAAGGTCCCACGTTCAATTCTGGTCAAGGGCATGTGCCTTGGTTGCGGGCACATCCCCAATGGGGGGTGTGCAGGAGGCGGCTGATTCTCTCTCATCGATGTTTCTAACTCTCTATCCCTCTCTCTTCCTCTCTGTAAAAAAATCAATAAAATGTATATTTTTTAAAACAACAAAAAACTGCAACTTCTGAAAGCCAGGGCTCAATGTCTCGGACTTCATTGTTTAAAACCACCTTGACCATTTTGTGTTGATCCTAAAATTAGTATATTATCCCTCCCGATAAAGCAATATGCTTCCCTAGAATCAACTTTTCCCCCTCAGCACATCTGAGTGTTGGCTCAGCTCCCTAATTTCCAAAAGAGGAAACAACTTTCCATTCTCTGGTTTGATCACTAACAAAAATAGATTAGCCTTATATTGATTCAAACATCCACACAGTCTGCATCCCAGGCTCTCATCATTGGCCTTATTGTAAAACTCTGCTAACTTTTATCCAAAGCTGAGCTGAGGAAAGTGTTATCTGGGAAGCGTTGCCTGGAGGACCTGCAATCACCTGAGTCAGTGAAATTCAAACTTCTTTGGCAATAAAGATGTTTTATGCTAAGCACATGTGTCAAACACAAGGCCCACAGGCCAAATCCGTCCCGCCAGGCCTTGCAATGTGGCCCGCACTACGCTGTCATCACTGCACTCCGCTGCGTTTCCATCACAATGACAGTTTATGACTGTTCAGTAAACCATTCGGCCCGAGATTTAGGCTGGATTTTAGATTTTGGCACCTTCTCTGACTGAGTTCGACACCCCTATGCTAAAGCAAAACTCTGTACGATGAACAAAGTTCTCTTAGTGGTAAATAACATGAAATGGCTTTGCTTCCTCTGAGGAACTGGTGTGCTTTTTCTTCCTAAAACGGACTAAGAAATTATCTATCTGCATTATTCATTTGGCTACCCCCTCCCCCCCGAACCCATCTTCTCATCCAGAAGGTACTTAAGGCCCCAGTGTTTGCTATGTAACAGGCCATGTCTCTCCTTTCCCTGTACAATAGAAAGTTCAAAGCCACATGTGTATCGTTTACGGCAGCAATCTTCAACTGGTGTGCCGCAAGCATTTCTAAAACATGCAATACGTGACTAATTTAGTCAGGGGCACTGACCTCTTTTTCCTTAGATTGTTAAAAAAATGACAGCAGTTAACACAACAACAGCCATCTGGTATGAACCAATCTAAATTACACCAATTTTTTTTTTTTAATCAGCAAAAAATATATTTTTGGTGTAATTTTAGTAATCAGTTTATATGTGCCAGGAGATGAAAAAGTTTGAAAATATCTGTTTTATGGTGTAAATATCTCTATAATTGTTTTTAAAACCTTGAATTATTGTAACTCCCCATACTAATTTATATTTTCCTGATTTTAAATTTACATTCACTCACTCAAAAAATACTGTATGAAGTACCTACTTTTTATACATTAGTGTCCTACTACATCTATCACAAAATTATGCAAAAAATTCTGATAACAGTTGATGTAATTTTACTAATTTTTAAATTTTATTTTCTTTTCAACCTTGTATTGTGAACATTTTCAAACATTCAAAAAAGTTGAAGTATATAATGAGCACACCTATACCCTTCCCTTAAATTCTACAATTATTAATATTTTGTCATTTTTTGCTTTATCTCTAGATACACACACACACTCACTCACAGTACTGACCCATTTAAAAGTAAGATGAAATCATCAGGATATTCTGGGTTTAAATACTTTCACATTTATCTCCTAAGAATAATAACATTCTTCTATTAAGCACAGTGGCATTATCATACGTAAGAAAATTCCATAATATTACCTAATTTCTAGTCCATATTAAAATTTTGCCCAACTGTACCATGAACATCTTTTAGATGTTTTTATTGAGCCAGTAGCTAATCAAGGTTCACGCATTGTATTTGGGTGTATATTTCTTAGACCACAATCTAGAACCACAGCACACACTATGTTTAAGAATCTATAGGTTCAAGTTTTTAAGACAGTAGTCCTCAAAATATGGTCCAAGTAACACTTGCTACCAAATCACCTGGGAATCTTATTTAAAAGGCCGATTGAAGGCTCCATCCCCACTTTGCTGAGTCACAATGCCAGGTAAGTCCTAAACATACTGAAAGCTGAGAACAATTGCTCTAAGACCTGTGAAGTGATCTGTAATAAATATCAACAGAACATCTGGACATGGGCTAATAAACGCACCTGGTTGTTCAAGCTGAGGTGGTCTAATTCCATGGAACGAGTTGCTCATCTTCCTTTTCTTCATTTTTTCACTCGTCTTCTGGTTTAAGGCTTGAATCATAAAATACTCCAACTAAAACGTGAAGCAAATGTGAATTAAAGCTCCAACAAAACTATGTAGGTGACATGATTATTTGTATCCAAATCACACTTGCCAAATGTTTTGAATGCCCAGACCATTGACATGTAAGCTTTAGCAAACACCTTCAAACATTATTTTTTTAAATGTACCAGGTAATACAGATTGTGCCTTGTCTAAACATAAATAAGCTATCCATTCAAGAAGGAACTGTTTATTCTCCTGAATGATCAAGGAAGCCTAGCAATACAACTGTGTTTATCAGTAACCATCTCTCTGGTAACCATGGCAATTAACATTAGAGAAAGTCAAGGCAGGAAGAGATATGCTAGGTCACATATGCTCATATTAGCTAGGGAAGCTCTCTGCTCTTTTCCCTGAATAAATTCCTTACAAATACATCCTTTATTTTATAAATTTAAAATCTTAACCACATGTACTTACACAGCTCCAGGCCTATGCTTTACATTGCGAGGTCTGGGGCAAAAGTACAAATGCAGGTCTCCGTACCACATACCTAAATATTTAAACTGTATACATCAAGAAAAAGAACTGTTATGTGAAAATACTGTATCCTCCTGCTTTGACAAATAGGTCGTCATGAACGCCTGGAAGGCCAGGTTCAGATTTGAATTCTGAGTCCTCAGAGTTTCCTGCAGCACAGGGCGAGTTGGGCCCTAACTCTTGGGCCCCAAGATCACCCCTTCTTTTCTCAGCCCGGGCTCCATCCCATGCCCTGGGGAGGTTTATGCACACCAGCTACACATCCAAGCTCCACCCACTCTCCCTTCCCCCATCCTCTCAGGTCCAGGGGTGCACACAACAGCACTGTGGTCCCCCTGGAGGAGGGACCCAGGAAAGAGTCCTGAGCAGGCCTGGGACACAGACTCGGGCCAGCTACCTAGAGAGTCCTGGGGTCCTGGGCTCTGGAGCGTGGTCAATACAACCCCTCTGTTCTGTGTTGATGAAACTGTTCTGAAATATCTGCTAATCAGCACAGCAGCCACATGTGGCTATCAAAATGTGCACCTGAAATGAGACAAGTGTGCCCAAGAAACTGAAAATGTTAAATTAATTTAAACATAATTAGCCACATGTGGCCAGTGGCTATCCTATTAGATGCCGTGGTCTGGGAGGGGCTCCCAGCTCCAGAGGGCACAGCCCTTTGGCTCCAGTGTCTCGTGCCCGGGGTGGGGGGTGGGGGGTGGGGGTGGGGGCACTGGAGGACTAATGAGGCTCTCTCGGGCTCCAGGGCTCAGGCCTGCCTTGCCCTGATCTGAGGTAATCCTGCACAGCTCTTCACCCCCGACTCTCAGACATAGGATTTCCAATGCTCCTTTCACTCTGACATCATCCCCTCCACCCATATTCTTACAAATATCTTCATTTCTTACACTCACGACCTCAGCTGTACTTTACATCTCAAGAGTATGAGAAGAGATCGCTCTGGTTTTATCTCCACATTCCCACTGAGAGAGTTTAGAGAAAAACGAGGTAAGGAAACACTGAGTTAAGGAAAAAAAAGAAACTGCCATGTTTTTCTTCCAACCTTGGCCACATCTTCAATTCTCTTCACACCTCCAGCCCTAGCTGTAACACTGGTATCAGGAGCGAAGAGAGGAAAGAAGAGAAAGTGAAAGTTGGGAGGTGGGAAGAGTGACTCTGAGAGTTTCAGGTTCAGGAACTTGAATGGGAAACAGGAGGCCCAGGACCTCCCTGTACCCCTCTCCCCACCAAGAGAACCAGCCCCTCTTCTCCAACAAATGAAACCAAACTGTATTTCACACCCCCACCCCTCAGCCAATTCCATACCTATTTTCCATAGGTATTTCAGGAAAATGTAAGGGTATTAAACCAAATTAAGATTTTTTTTTAAGCCACTATAATATCTGCTTCACAGGAAAATTAGGTTTCACCTCTCCCAGTCTATCTGCCCGTTGCTTATCAATATAATTAAATAAGATAAAAATTTCTCAGTCATTGATAATATCAATATTGTGAGTACATCTCCCATAGTGGTTTATTATTAATGTTTCTTATATTATTGGGTGATATAGTTATGGCTATTTGGTAGAAATTAGAACCATTTATATCTGATCCTTATTTTAGCTTTGGTTCTTATCTGGAGTTTAGTGACTCCAGAACAAATGAATTTTCTATAAGTTATCTGTGGAAACCTCAACATCTTAACATAAATCTACATAATGAATGTTCTGGCCTATCGGAAAGGGTACTTGATGAGGAACTGAAGGTAAAGTCCGAAGAGCTACTGCTTAATGCAGGGTTTATCAAGGCTGACTGAATTTGTCTATTCAAAGAAACGGCTTCCTAGAGGGTTGGGGAGGTTAAGTCTCCAGTCAGTAATACTTAAATGACACAGCTCCACGGCATTCCCCAGGGGCCCTGCAGCCCCAGGCCTGTAGGGTAGGTGCTGTGTGCTAGATTTGGCCTCCAAGGTGCCTGCAGAGCCAATAAATATTACTGCATTGAGCTACCCCTGGCTCCCCACACATCCCGAGAGAAGCTGCCCTGTAAGTAGTTCCTCAGTTCTGAGCTACACCAAGACCAGAAGGGCATGGAGTCCTGCTGAAACATTCACACAGAGAAGAATAGCTCTTCTTTTCAAGTATGAAGGAGAACCTTCCAGGCCCACCAGCTCCGGGTGCCAGGCTGGTTGAGCTATTTAAAGATGACTATCAAAGCTGACATCATGGGCTTGTGTGAATAAACACACTTTAATAAAGTGGCACCAAATGGAAAATTCCAAAACATCATACATAGACAAGAGGAGATGTGTCATTTGGAGAGAAAAATAAAATCATAATTGTATTCTGAACAAAACCTTTTTTTTTTTTTTCCTACTTACACTCATATTATTTCTCAAGGTTAAAACTAATCGTGCCTTTAAAACTAAAGTTCGAACTGAGGTTCTGGAAACTAGATAAAGAAACACCCGACAAATGCCATCAATGTGTGTGACGGGAATTTCCACTCACCACGCCTCCAAAGTACTTCCCGATGTAGAAGTCATCCAGGCTGTGCAGCTCCAGGTAGGTAGCCCCTAGCTCTTTGGCAAGTTGGATCCCTTCGGTCGTACTGACACAGCTTCCTCTGTCTGAGGTGCACAGTGGGCACGTGCAAGGTAATTCTTCTAAGAGGAATGTGAGCAACAAAGAGCTTTGAGTTTAAAGGGGGGGTGGGCGCGAGGCAGGGGAGGTATGTACAGATGATCTGAACATTAAATAACAAATTAAACGCTCATACCCAGCTCAAGGGCATTTAGTACATCCATGATCCACTACGACTCTGAATAAAAAGCGTCAATGAAAAGTCCCTAAAATAAACAAGCTTTAACTGCAAGAAGAAGAAACAGTATTTTAGAAAACAGAAGAATTTAAAAATAGGATTATGGATATTACCAAGTATTACAGCAACTGTACCGTGAGTCAGTAATGGCTGGCCTGTTTCCTTTTACACAACCTTGACATCCTAAGTATCGATACAAATTTAACAACATGGTTGCCCATAGAAACCATGGAAAACAGTGGGTTCTCTCCTCTCTCTCTTTCTCTCCCTCTCTCTCTCTCTCTCTCTCTCTCTCTCTCTCTCTCTCTCTCTCTCATTATATTTTAAATATATTCACCAAGTTTGAATAGACCTTATACTTTTAATAGAATCCTCAATTTGACCTGAATCTTCAAGGCTGTAAGACTGCCTCCTCTTTGTAGATTTCATATAAAGTGTATTCTTATTCATCAAAACATTTCAATTGTTAGGTTCTAAAGCAGAGACCACATTTAATCACTCTTTATCTTTTTCTTCAAGATTGAAAAAAATAAAAAATAAAAACTGACGGAATAAAAAGCATTTACTCAAAATGTGCACTGTCCCAAGGTTCATGTTTGTAACATGTACAAATCTATGACTGGGAAGGTGCCAAATCAACCTTCTATTAAGTACACTCCTTAGTAAGGCTAAAAACGTATGCTCAACTCTGTATTTGTCCGCTGGCTTCATTTTGTTTCATGCCAAAACATGAGATCTGTCACTGCTCAAAGGCGGCCAAGTCCAAAGAGGGTAAATCTATTTCTAGAAATGCATGCTGCTGGAGAGTGGCTTCCCTGCGAGGCTGACTCTGAGATGGAATCAGTGTGCAGGTGGTTTACTGGGGGGTGATCTTGGGAACAACTCTTCTTAAGAGTGAAGGAAGTAGGATTGGGCAGAGGAAAATCTCAAACTGCAATACAGTTGCAACGGAGGCCTCCACTGATCATACAGGGTACTTTGGAGCTTAAATGGCCCTTAGAATGGCTCCCCTTTGGGGAAAGGCAGCCGGACCTTTACATCCCTAAATCCATTGGCAATCAGAGGAGGACCCCTGCGTGCAGGAGCCATAACCCTGAGAAAGCAGCTGCTACAGGCAGAGGGTAATGCCTGGAGAGGGGCTCAGCTCCATGGCCTCAGCAGCCAATGAGCCCAGCAACAGGGGGAGTAAGAACAGTGGCCTTGAAAGGGCATTTGGGAAACTCCCCACGGCCTACATAGCAAATCCTCTACCAAGGAGCCACGTACTGACAGAGCACATGTGTGTATATAGGGTGCAGGCTAAGGATATTGAGTGCATGTGCATACTATGTATGCAACTATGTGTGTGTGCACACGACAGATAATTTTAGCTTTACTGAAAGCATTTTAGAGCTCAGAAACCACGTACATACTCACATCCTCATTTTACAGAGGAGGAAACTGAAGCTCATAGAGGAAACCGAAGCTCATTCAATACTGTGAATGAGTGAACTGTCCAAGTCTCCTTGAGTTAGAAATGGAGAAACAAACAAACAAACAAAAACAACTGTTACTTGCTCTATCTGATAAATAAAGCGACATCAAGAAATGAGCTGAAAACTTAGTTTGAATAAGTAATTATGGATTCTAAACATGTGGAGATTTAACAGTTAAACTTGGATTCTCTAAATTATGGTATACTTTCTACTCTGAGTTTCTGCATTTACTTTTTCCAAGATCATTTTAAGTCTGGAGTCAAGTCTTCACACAGAACCTAGCCTACTTTGAAAAACATTGGTATTTCACATTCTTTAGAAAGCGTTCATAAACGGCGCCTTTAATTTTCTGAAGACAGAGGTTTCTTATGTCTACAAAGCTCTTCTTATGTGGATGGAATGGGGTGGGCAGGCATTAAACTTTATTTCTACACAAAAATAAAGCAAAGTCAGTAGTTTTCAAGTGAAAATTAAGTGAACAGAATTTGAAATACTTTTTTAACCAATAATCTGATTTGAAGGAAAATACAACTAATTCCAGATTTAACTCAGCTCAGTAGGGTTTCCCAGTGTGAGTAGCCATACATATATTAGTGACACTAAAAAGTTCCTCCTTATATCTAACTGGAGGCCCGATGTACGAAATTCGTGCAAGGGGCTCAGCCCTTGCAGCCATAGTGGCTGCCTCAGCCCTCGCAGCCCTGGCTTCGTCCGGAAGGTCATTCTGCTGTTCGGCCATTCAGTCTAATTAGCATATTATGCTTTTATTATTATAGGTTTTTATGTAGCTTCTTAGACACAAAAAACATTTCTTTTTGTTCACACACACACAAAAGGAAAAATATCTAGGCATTATGTGTTGGGTAGGAGAAAATCAACAAAACATTTATGGATTAAATAAGCCTTCATTGAGCATTCCATCAGAAACAAAATAATTTTAAACTGTGGAGCCTTCTTCAGGAGTTTACTCCCAAGAGCCTACCTCAGGGTCAAAGGGACTTTGTGACTCAGAGTGTTATGCTTCCAGTTAACACTGTAGCTTTTTTTCTTCCATGTTATCTTTTTAGTTATCACTAAATGTCCATTATTTTAAAGCAAACACAATGTAACTCTGGAATTAAAATGAACTGCATCTCTTTCAAAGAGGTGGCTTTGTGAATCTTTAGGGTGAGTCTTACGATGTTGCCAATGCTTGAAACTTTTAGAAACCCTTGTAATGCTCTGACCCAGTGGCTCAGTTGGTTGAGCGTCATCCCACACACCCAAAGGTTGCTGGTGGGATACCCAGTCAAGGCACATGCCCGGTTTACAATCTCAATCCCCAGTAGGGAGCCTACAGGAGGCAGCTGATCTATGTTTCCCTCACATCAATTTTTCTCCCTCTCCCTTCCTCTCGCTAAACTAAATAAAAACATATTTTTAAAAAATCCTTGTAACAATTCTAGCATAACAATGTACTAGGCTATATCAGAGCTTCAAAAAGAAGATAGGACACCAATTTTCAGGAGCGAAGGCTATGAATACACCCTAGGCATGTTTGAAAGATCTTTTTCCTACTTTAAAGATTAATTCAATATTTAGTAAAAGCCAAAAATTTATTCAGAGCCAAGAACAATGAAGAAGATATATACACTCAAGCTTGTCAAAACATGGGTAACAAAGGAGAAATGAGATGATTGTATTTGCTAAACCAATGCTAAAAAGAGACCAAGAGAGGAGTTACCAGTAGTTTCATGTATTACAAGAGATTGGCATACATGAGACAATAAATGGGAGACAATATTGGGAGACAATAAATGCCCTTGAGTTGAATAGGCAAATTTAACTTTGCAATTACTTTGTGATAAATTCTTATAAGGCAAGTTAATTTCATCTTGTCAGTGAAATTTATTTTTTTCATCATGTATTGTGGTTCATAAAAAAGATTAAAGCATTCCTAAGCAAACATGTATTAAGCCCCTACCACATCAAATACTAGAGATATAAGGATACACAGATAAAAGAAATTCATAATCAACGGAGCCAATATAGACATGACTACAAACAATCATAATGTAAGTACTAAAATAAAGGTAAACAAATTCACCATGGAAATTGAAGAAAATGAACTCTGCCTGGTGGGGTATGGAAGGCTGCACAGAAGAGGCACTGATTTAAAAGATAAACATGAATTTGCTATGCAGGTAGGATGGGGGTGTGCAGAGGGGCACTCCAATCAGAGGATGTGGCCTTCGCAGAGGCCTGGACGTGAGAGAAAAAATAGAACACATTCACTTCCAGTTTCAAGATGACGAGCTAGGCCCACACTGCAACCTCTTCTCTCTGCTGAATCACAAAATGATAAAATAAAGAGGAGAAGGGGGTAAGAGGAACGAGGGAGAAAGAAAGAAGGGAAGAAAGGGAGGGCTGGGGGAGGAAGGAAGGGAGGGAAGAAGGGATATATGCATATACAGCAAAACAAAAATCAGGGGAGAGATTCTCACCCAGGAAATAGGACTGCATGAGAGGCCACAGGCTGATGGCACAGGACCCAAGGGGAAAGCTGAAGCTCGGAGTACTGGTGGGTCATGAAGTTCTGCACCTTGTCAACGTCAAGAATGCTCCCTGCTCGATGACTGGGGAGGGAGGGAGTCCCAAGGGCGACCTAGTGGAGATTATCGAGTATCCTAGTGAAAGCTGCAAGGCCTGCAGATCCTGTTTGTACTTCCACTCCCACGCCTACCCCGGAGAGCAGATGGGCAGAGGGGGAGGAAGGCATCAACAGGGAATCTAAATTATAAACGTAGGCAAATAACTATCAAACACTTGAGAAGCATCCATACCATGAAATAAAATCTCACCAAATGGAAAGACTTATAAAATGCTCCCCACTCAAAACCAAACTTAATAGGGCAATCAAAACAGAGTCTTGAAATAAGTATGATTAATTGAGTTTTTTTAAAGTAGTTATGTCCTTAAAACAAGAACAAAAAATTATGAAAGAGAACCAATTAGAGATCTTGGATATGAAAAAAGCAATAGACCCAGAAGAACTAATTTGTGAGTTGGGGAAGAAGAAGAAGAAGAAAAAAAAAGAAAAGAAAAAAAAAAAGACCAAGAATTCTCCCATAATGGGACAGGGAGAAATAAGGGATAGGAAATAAAAATGATGAGAGAAATGGAGGCAAGGTCCAGAAGTTGCAACATCAGTTTTGTAAGAGTCCCAAAAGGAAAGAATAGAGAAAAGGAAGGGAAGGTGATATCTGAAGAAGTCAGGAAGCTGGACCTTCCCAGATCTAAAGAAAGACATTAAATCCTTCACAGAGTTCAGTGTGATGGTCATATGACACAGAGGATACACCTATCTTGTATTTTAGGCACAACTTTGCATTAGAAAATTATGGAAATAAGATTAAAACATCGGATTAGAATAAGGGTATCAAAGCCTAGAAGCCCTGACACCTACAGTAATGAACACCCCAGAGCCCAGATCTTGGTTTCTAAATATCATTACTCATTATAAGGAACCAGAGCTCCTTGAAGAAAGGACGAATGCCAGGCCTGGCGCAGGCAAAGTGTAAGATGAGCCTGGGGCATCTTGTGCCAGAAAATAAGGAAGAACTCAAAAATTAATTAGAGCTAGCTTGAAGAGGCTCAGGAATGTTCCTGCCACCCACTGTGCTGATTTACTTGATGCCATGACACAAAGATGCCAAGCTAAGGGGCGAACACAACACAAACTACAGTGCCCCGCACCACTGTGGTCAGTAAAGAAATATGCTGGAAGAAACTATCATTTTCTCCTCTCTATAGAAGACATTAAAAAGTGCTTATCATATAAAGAGGGGATCAAAGACCGTGTAGCTCCCAAAAGATAAGAAAAGTTAAAGAAGTGTCAAGCTGTTCAATAATAGAAAGATTGTTTAAGTATTTTGTGGTATTTGACAGCTGTTTAAGATTTACAATCTGTTGTTTCTTTTCTCTTTCATAAATATTCATTTATGTACATATAAGTTGTTTTTATTTTTCCTTACTAAGAATCTCTAAAACTGTGTAAGTTTCAGGTCCTACAAAATCTGGAACTGCCCCTATAGGAGATCAAAAGGAAGGCTGCTATGACAGAAGAGTAAATGACTAGGATCTGAAATCCAGTGACTATGGAGAGGAAACATGAGTTTGAGATTCGTTTAAAATGTAAAATCTAGAGCTCTTCCGTCAACTGGATATAGGGGGTGGGAGAGAAAGCAGGATTGGATGATTCCAGTTTGGATCAATGTATAGATTTGAAATTATTCACCAAGATAGGGAATTCAGTAAAATGAGGAAGGTGTCTGTGGAGCTAGGGGTCGTGCGGGAGACAGGAGCCAGAGAAAGAGACTGGGTAATCATCAGTGTTGTTACAGAGCAGGCTGGGGCAAGGGATGAGCGGATTCCTGGTCAGAGTAAAGAGCAAGAAAAGGTGATGTCAACGAATGGAACTCTGGGCAACAACTACAGGACGTACTGAGATATGTGTGTGTGGTGAGGGGACAGGAGGTAGGGGAGTAGCAGTAAAGAAGAACTAGACCAATTACTAAAGTACAAATAACTCTATTAACCAATGGAAGAGCTGTGTTTGAATAATTTCAAAGAGCAAATTATTATTGAAATGAATTACATTTGGCAATAAGCATAGACTAACCTGGCAACCCTGAGAGGGAACAAACTCAATGTAATTGTAAATGTCAAAATTAGATTGTAGTGCACTGAAGAATGAATGGGAAGATACTTTCAAGAATCACAGCCAGCAGTAAGAAGAAAAATAGAGATACAGAGGAAATGTGGGGTCAAGGAAGGGTCAAACTCATTTGAATCTACTAATGTTAAACATGTTCCTATCCTATGACTCAACAGCCCCGATTGGAGGTAGAAACCTAAGCATCATCAAAAGGAGCATGGATAAATAAATTACAGCTATTCACACAATGGAATTTACAGCAATAAAAAGAACAAATGACAGATAAGCACAGCATAGATGAATCTCAAAAGTATTATGCTAACTGAAATTAGTCAGACACCAGTCATTACATTTGCATGAAGTTCAAGAATAGGTAAAACTAATCTATGTTTTTAGAAGTCAGAACAGCGGTTACCTCTGGGGAGGGGTGTTATTATAACTGGGAAGAGGTGAGAGAGAGCCTTCCTACATGCTGCAAATGTTCTATATCTCAGTGTGATGGCTGCATGGATGCATACAGATGTAAAAAAGCTGCACTCAAAGATTAGTGAACTTCATGTCCATTACTCTGCTATATCTCAATAAAAATAAATAAATGAATAAAACTAAATATTTAAAGACAGATTTACTGAGAAAATACCAGTACTATTAAGAAATATAAGGTATCAACAAATCAAAGTGATTTTTGAGTTGGCTCTGGGATACTTGATGCATTGTAATCACAGCAGTTTTCAATACTTTCCTTTGACATCTCATGATCAAATCCAATGATTAAGAGATAATAGCTGGCATCTAAACCCACAGTCATCTAGGTGTTGTTTTTTTAAATAAAAATTATATTAATCATTAATAAACTTAGCTCTATTTAAAATTAATATGGTACTCACATTATAAAAGAGAAAACGTAATACTTACCATTTTGTCTGGTACCGACAGCAGCAATGATTACTGGAACTGAATTTAATGCTCTTTTTATCACCGGAATATAATTATCCTTCACTTCATGGAATGAAAACTTGTCATTTACGTTGTATTTGATCACAATGATGTCAGCACCCCCAATCAGATTTCGAGAACTGTACCAGTCACTGTCAAAAATGTCCTAAACCAAAATGCAAAGAGTAATCTTTAGTCTGTCTTCAAATCAATCATGTATCAGTAGTTTAATTTCTTTGTTATATTTTAACTTGTGGAATTCATTAAAAATTTTATTTCACAAAAGTAATTTCATAATTTTTTAAATGTTTGAAGTCTACAGCTTCTTATTTACTCATTTAGCCTAGACAACTAAGTAGTGGTAGACAATCTAGAGAATTCCTGAGAAGCTAATGAAATAAGCAACCTCTTTCAATATTTGTGTTTAAAACTAAGCACTTTGCTTTAAAATGATGCCTTATTCTTACCACCTAGTAATTTTAAAGACATAACGCTAAACATTAGATGGGACGCATCAGTATGAGTAAGGAAGCTTCAGAGGATTTTCCTTGACCCAGTTAGACACTGCGGAATTATTCAGTATTTTGAATTGTAATGCACTGTAAATTCTGTGGAGCTCTATATTTTATTTGTATTTTCAAAATTCATATATACTTTCATGTATACTTTGGACAGCACCGCATGCATACAGTATGTACATGCAGGTGCATGGTGGGAAGGGTGCATCTATAAAAAGATACTGTGTATTATAAGATGCTAACATGGTAAGAACTCTACTTGCAGTTCACGTATTTTGCTCATATAAGTTAAAAATTTAGGCCCTAGTGGGGCAGCTTGGTTGGTTGGAGTGTTCTCCCACGCTCCAAAAGGTTGCAGGTTTGATCCCCACTCAGGGCATGTACTGGAGGCAATCAGTGGATGTTTCTCTCTCACATTGATGTCTCTCTCTCTCTCTCTCCCCATTTCTTCTCTCTCTAAAAATCAATGAAAACATATCCTTGAATGAGGATTAAAAAAAATTCAGGATAAGTCTTTCTAGTTTTGAAATACTTTTGCATGAGAGTTCTAATATTTACATTTAGAACTGAAGCCAAGAATAATTCATTATGGGCCCTAGTCCTTAAAATTCAGGGCTTTAAGTTTTTCAAAGTTTTTGTGTGAATAGCAGAAAGAAAACATCTTTATGTGTCTTAATACCACTGCTAAATATGCATAAGTAATTTCTTCTCAAATCCTAGTTAACTATTCATCATTACTTGTCCTGTCATGTGGCCTTTTATACGTATTTTATGGATGTAATAAAGTTGGATTAAAAAAATATGGTCTGACACCTATTTTTGTGTGAAAAAAGATTTACTGGAACATACTTGCACACACAGACACACAACACACACACACAACACACACACAAATAAAATAGACAGGTAGATGTGGTAAACAGTTCCAAAAATTGCTGGATTATAGAAGTGTTCGTTTTGACATAGGAGTCTAAAACAAGTTTAATAGTGTTTGAATCAATCAGTCAGGATCTGTGCCTGTGTATCAGGGTTCTTACCCTATGATGGAAAATTCTATTAATAGAGAAGTGTTACCCAGTAGTGCCCTGGGCAGAGAGCTTCTTCTCACCAGTACCTCCACAGCCTCAGCAAAAACTGCACCTTCCCAACCCACCCATTTCCTACAAGTACACTCAGAATAACCAGAATTACGAACCCTGCTGAAAGTAGGATGAATACCACATTTTTAAAGGAAGATTAAAACAAACAAAAACCCCAAAGGCAAAATATATTACTATAAAGTGCAAAGTCTTGCACTTAGTAGAGGGTGTAAAATGGGAGACACAGATCAAGAATGTGAAAGCTTCCCAGCAGAGTTCTGGCTAATTTCCAAATCCCAAACCACAAAACCCATTCAGTTCCAACTGTATCTGTTATAGCATTCAAACTCGAAGTGTAGAAGTATTAGAGGGTATACAAGTATAACAATGGAAAAGGACATCAGAAGAATGGTATACAAAAACTAAACATAAGTGAAATCAATAGAAAGCAGCCATTTAACTCTAAGAGAACAAAACAAAAGTAACTTGCTCTTTGCATTCCAAATAGTTCAAAATCCAGAGTTACTGGAGAAATGTAAGGGGGTTGGATGGAGGATAGGGAGAGAAACATTTGAGGGAAAATGTCATGAGAAAATGGGCTTTGGTGTCATTAACACTATGGTATTGGGAATATAAAGACACAAATCATTTTATTTTTAATACAAATCAGAGTTTCAACCCTTGCACAAGAAAATTGCATGCATTACTTCACTGCTTCTTGTGGAATTATTTTTGGTAAACAGGAAAAGATCTAGAAATAAAATAACTGTAACAAAAAAGGGTGTGTTTGAGGAAGACATACTAAATAATGAGCTACATAAAACGAATCTGAAGCACATTTGTTTTTTAAATGCCAAGTTTATATGGCAAGGATCCAGAGTAAGGCTACCGACCTAGAGAAGAAAATTAGAAGAGAAGCACAGCTGTCTCATTCCAGTCTAAGAAAACACCACATTTCTTCTCAAAGAGAAAAACGCTCCACTGGTTCTAGAAACATGAAGGAAATAAAATTTTCCCGCCCCTTGTAAATCAGTTCCAAGATTTCCTCTAGGAGGTTATGTAACACAAGGCTTGCAGTCACATTTGGAGAATCAGACTCATCTTTTTAAAATGAAAACTAATCTGAACTTTTACAGCAAAACAATTTTATTCTACTTGATTATGGGGCTGCAAATACAATACTAAGTACTAACATTTCTGCATCGATGTACTGTATTTGTTTAAATCTTGAATGATGTATGGGAAAACTACTTTGGCTTAGCATTAAGTGATACCTGGCTACACTAAGGTTGGAATAAATACACTATTATTATAGAAGCTAGCACTTACTGAGTACCTACTACGTGCCAGTTTCTATACTAAGATCTTTACCTGTACTATGTCATTTACTCTCCAGCACAGCTCTAGGGGGCAGGGATTATTATATTTACTTTATACACAGTGAAAGTAAGGCAAAAAGAGAACAAGTGGCTTAGCAAGGAATACAGTCACTAAGCAGCAATGTGAGGATCTGAAATCAGGTCCTTTTGACATCAAAACCTGTGCTGTTTTTGCTCTGTTGTATTTAATATTCTGACTCAGTACATGTCAAATATCAGCTGATGAATACAATCAACTTTAATATCTCTGCTGTGCTTTTATTTAACACCAAGAGAAGAAACACACCTTAAAAAGAATAGCTCTATAAATATATTCTACTATGTCTGCAAACCATCATAACTATAGAAAACTATACCTGGTTACCTTAAATAGGGCCCAAGTGTAACCAAACAAAAGGTGATTTTATGATAAAACATAATAATCAGTAAATAGCAAAAATCCACTGGAGCTTATTTTAATCTATTTGGAAGATTTCATTGGATCACAAAAGTACTGCTGTTTGCTAAATTAATATTATAAATAGGAAAGAGTTATCAGCGTAAAGAAAAAAATGTAAAGGGTAATCCTAACATCCTAATCCAGTTTATGCTATATTCCTGACATTTATTTCCTCTACTCACTCAATGGTTGATCAAGTTCACGTAGAGCAATAAGTTTTTAGACTGTAAAATCTTTCACAAAGAAATACCGAAGTTAAAAGCAGTGTTTTATTTGCTTGCATGGACTTCAAACAATAAATTGTCTATCAATGCTTCTTATGATCAGCAACATCTCTTTCATCACTAGGAGTTTAATAGCATCACTATTATTAAAAAGGCCTGTTTTTCATTTATTTTAGTCTATTAATGTAAACTTTCTTTAATCACAAATTTATTTGGACAAGTGATCTCTTTCCAGAATTTAGAAATTTGTACATTCTACACATTTCCTTGGAAAGGTATATTAGTTCCTTATTCCCCCAAATTAAGTTTTTAAAACTTTCCAGATGTAAAAATCTCACATAATGATCATTTGTACTCTCTTTTTCAGACACTAAACTTTCTTCGGTTACAAAATCTAACCTTTAGTAGCAATCAGGCATTTTCAAATAAGATTAAATGAAAACATTTAAACATATGATGTCATTGTGTACCGAAAACATTTATTTGTGTCAGGGAGTGAATTCCTTTCTCCCTTTATCAAACAGTCAAGAATCGAATTAGCATTTATCACTTTCATGACAATTGTTGTCCAAGTATTGCCAAAGGTAAAGCTTTTGGAAAATTCCAAGCATGTTAGTAGTATCATTTCTTATTTATGGATCACTAAAATCAAATGCCTGCTATGCCACGAGTATCCGTATTGCCAAAATTAAAAACGCCAGGTAAGAAATGCCAAAGGTTCACAGTAATATAAATGAGTTCTTTGACATGAATCCTCAGCCCCTATCTTTCTCCTTTCCCGGTCCTGCTTCCGACCTGCCCAGTGGAATGTATTTCTGCCTGTGTGGAGCCTTCAGAGGGAGGGTTTATTTTTAGAACGCTAATATTACACTATCACTCCCGGGGCAGGCATACACACATTGCTCTCTGCTGGCGAAACTCGGTGACCCCATCCCTCGTGGTTGGCACGTTCAGCTGTCAGCGTCACCCAGGGGCAAGCCGGGCCGCGAGGTGCGCGCGCGCCCCTCTCCCGCTGGGCTCCGTGCCTTCAAGGAGTGCTCCCTGCCCGGCCACACAAAGAACCCAAGGTTTCCCCTCTAACGTTCCAAAACTCCACCGGCCACTTCACCTACATAAAAGACGGGGGCGGGGGAGGGTCAGAGGGGGGAGGAAGAGGGGAAAAATGAAAGAAGCGCCGTGTCCGCGCGCTCCGCGCCGCCGCCGCGCCTTACCCAGACGGGGCAGTCGTGGACCACCAGCCGGACGTTGCCGAACGCGCTGGCCTGGTACTCGGTGAACACGGGGCGCGCCACGGCGCTGGCGGCGCTCAGCAACAAGCTGCCCTCGTCCCCGGACACCAACGGGCTCCTCCCCAGGTACGTGCGGATGAGCCCGGACGGCCGGCTGTCCTGGTGGAAGGAGTCGCCCTCGTTCCCCAGCGCCACGATGTGGATGGACCTGCGGGCACAGAGGGGCCGGGGCGCGGGGTCAGCGCCGGGCGCCCGGGGCCGGACGGGAAGCGCGGAGGCCGGGCCCCAGCCCCAGCCCCAGCCCGGGGCGCAGCGCGCGGAGGAGACAAAGGCAGGACCCCGCCGCCTACGTACATGGTCTCCGCTCCCGGGGCTGGGCGCCGGCCCGGAGAAAGGCGGCTCCGCACGGCCTCCCGGCGCGGTCCGCGGCGTGCTGGCCCGCGATCAGCTCATCCCCGGCCGAGACCCCCTCGCGGGCTCCACCGCGGCGCGCGCGGCCGACGCTGAGCGGGCCCCGCCGGGCGGCGAGCACCCGGGCGGCGGGGGGCGTGCGGGGCCGGCCGGTCCGGGAAGCGCCCGGGAGCATCCAGGGCGGCCGCGCCGCTCCCCTCCCGCCCCCGGTCACCGCCGCCGCCGCCACGGGAGCCCCACGCCCCGCGCTGCAGCCCCGCTCCGCCGCGCTCCCCGGCCGGGCAGCTGTCGCCGTCTGCGGCTCCTGCTGCTGCTGCTGCTGCTGCTCCTCCTCCTCCTCCCGGCCGGAGCGGGCTCGGAGAGAGCCGGGCCTCCGCCCCCTCGGCGGGGCGGGCGGGCGGAGGAGGGCGCAGCACGTGCCGGCCGCGGGGGTCGGGCGGGCGCGGGGGAGGCCTCCCCGGAGCCCGGGAGGCGGCGGAATGGAAATGAATCAATGCACCGCCCGAGCCGCCGCGGCTCCCGATCGCCGAGCCGCCCGCAGCAAGTTCGTTCAACTCGCAAGGCTGTAACCGGAGCCCGGGAGAGGGGGTGGGGCAGGGAGGCCCCGCTCCCTAAAGCCTGGATAGAGAAAGGAGGTGGGTGAAGCCGGGGATGGCAGCCCGCCCGCCTCTCCCTCCAGCAGCCCGGGGTGTTCCCCCCCCCCCCCTTGGCCTTGACAGACAGGGTTCTACCGCGTCCGCCGCTGTGTGGTTTGTCAACATGCACTTAAGCTCTTTTCCAAAATCGCGCGTGGGGGGTGCGGTGGGGGGGAGGCGGCATTCATGTTAGAGCAGAAAGGGCCCTTTGTTCACACACCAATTTGCTAATATCGCTCTGGTGGGGGGGATTATTTACAATTTCAAGCTACGTTTGGCATATTTTACAAAAAAAGAAAGAAAGAAACACTGCAGGATTTTAAGTGCTGGGGTTCGTAGTGCCCTGGTTTTAAACAAGTTATGCATGAGGTGTTCGACGCGTTTACAAGCTGAATGTTAGTTTTCTTGGAGATTTCTTTTTTCCCTCGGCACACATTATGGCTACGTATTTCATAATAGTCTATCATGGGACCAACGGCAAAAATAAGGTTCATGCTAATGCAAGGTTGTTTTAGATTCCTTCGTGATAGCGCACGGTGGCCAAGGTGGCCAAGGTTATGGACGTCTGTTAAGGGCCTCACACCACCTCGGTGCGAATGAAGGGCCGTAGGTTACCCTGGGCTCAGCTTCTCTATCAACATGAAAATTCTTACAAGTGCTCTGTGTTGAAAGAGTTCTTGTTTATCCCTCTATTCATTTATTTCGCCCTACTTTAACATTCTGCAGCTACTTGTTCTCAACAGAGCTATTTTGAGGGTACGAAGCAGGAGGTACTGCATAGGGCAGTGAGTAGACCAGGGTAAGAGGCCTCTGGAACGCGCTGTTTATTACAGGCCCTTGTTGCTCCCATGGAAAGAATGCCAGTATCTTATGCTTAGATAGGGCATGGTAGGAGGCATTCTATCTGTAGTCACTGATTTAAAAAAAAAAAAATCTAATTTCCCTTTGCACTTAGTATCATCTTTTAGTCTCCAGAACCTAAACCATCCTATAATATTTAAGTACAAGAAAGCCTTTTCTCTTGGGTCAATAGAAAATTTATTTTCTCTTAGCCCTCTCCCGTGACCATAGGTCAAAATCAAAGACACATAAATGGATGCACGGATAAATAAAAATGTGATATGTCCATGCAAGGACATATTAGTCAGCCTCAAAAACAAGGACATTCTGTCATATGTTACAACATGAATGAATCTTGAGGGCATTTTAGTAAGTGAAATTAGCCAATCACAAAAGAATCAAATTCGATTTCCCCCCACTTAGATGAGATAGCTTAAGGTAGTCACAGTCTTAGAAACAGTGGTCACTCAGAACTGGAGAGGGGGGAAGGGAGGAGTTGTTTCATGAGTATAGTTTCCGTTGCGAGATGACAAAGTTCTAGAGATCTGCCGTAAACGAGGAGCATATAGTTAACCCTACCGTAATGTGCAGTTAAAAATGGTGAGGATGCTAAATTTTGTTGTGTTTTTACCACAATACCCAAAAGAGGGAGAGAGATACTGCGAAGTGGCAGGAGGGGAGACAGGATGCATTTCCCCTCGGTTATTATGTGAGCCAACCCTGTGCTGCGGAGGCAGGGGAGCTACTAAAGTACATAAGACTCAGTCTTCACCCTTTAGAAGCTAAGTCTACTACTCATGGTCACTGTATTGTGAATATTAATGCGTCCAGTCCTTTGGAAAACATACTGGTTCCTTAAATAATCCTCATACAGGCTTATGAGTCTAGTAATAGAAGTGGAACTACGAGAGTCAAGTCTGGTGAACGTTAAATAGAAATCTGTGTCTTCTGTATCATTAGAGCAAGTTCATAGAGAATGTAAACATTGTCTTAGGTCTTACAAGACGAAGGGGAGATTTGGAGCAAGAGGAGGCTGGGAGGGAAGGAGTACTGGGCATCATATGCAAATCACATGCAAAGTTGTGAAAACCTGGAAGATCCGAATTTGTTCTGGAAATGAGAGCTGACATTGGTGCTGTCAGACAGATTCTGTTATTACAGTCGGTTGAAAAGAGAGTGGTAGAGACTACCCAAGAGGTTTCCAAAGGCAGACCTGGTGTTGTTCACGTTATAGATTGGGAATCCCTAGACCAACCTCTGAATGTCTGGCAAAGCCTGGCTAGATGCTAACCGAAACCCACTTTCTCTTCCAGGACCCATAGCTAACCCATGTTTACCAAAGTTTTTGCATGTAGATAGGATCGTATGATTAGTTCTCACCAGTGGAACATAATCCCTGCTGAGCAGTTAATAAGAGAAGGTGTGCCTTCTCCATGCTCTTTTTTAAAAATAATATATTTTATTGATTTTTTTACAGAGAGAGGAAGAGAGAGGGTTAGAGAGTTAGAAACATCGATGAGAAAGAAACATCAATCAGCTGCCTCTTGCACACCCCCTACTGGGGATGTGCTCGCAACCAAGGTACATGCCCTTGACCGGAATCGAACCCGGGACCTTTCAGTCCAAAGACTGACGCTCTATCCACTGAGCCAAACCGGCTTCGGCTCCATGCTCTTTTTATCTTTCCTTCTACCAACTGGATAAAACTAGGTCAACCTTGACACCATGAGTTTGAATTTGTTGGTCCACAGTGTGAAAGAAGCTCGAGTCCCTAAATGACCGGTCACAGTAAAGCCTCTTCACTGCATGCATTTCACTGTAATATGAATGAGAAAACATATATTTGTTGAGTTAAGCCAGACATTTTGGGGTCAATTATTACAGCATTAGTGCTAATTATCTTGGTTAATATACTATCACAGATGATCCATTTCCTGGTATTTTAATGATTTTTTCCCCATAATTATCTTAAAACATTTTCATAGTTATTTTCCTTTTATTTACAACTAGAGGCCCAGTGCACTAAATTCATGCACTGGGGAGGAGGGAGTATGTCCCTCAGCCTGGCCTGCGCCCTGTCACAGTCCGGGAGCCCTGTGATTGATCCCCCCAAAAAGGGAGGCCCAGGCTACCTGCTGCAGCCTGGTCAGTGGCCTGGGTCTCCCTCTTTGGGACGATTGTGGAGGCCCCCCTCCCCAATTGATCAATTGCCCTACCAGCCAGTGGCCTGGGCCTCCCTCTGGAGGGTGATCATGGGGCAATAGCTGGGCCTTCCGACCAATCACATTGCACCCGCCTTGGCTGGCCTGCCACCAATGGATGTCATAGTGTGGTCATCCGGATGGTAGTTCCACTGTTAGGCCATTTGGTCGATTTGCATATTTATTATTAGATATTATATATTTTTATTTGGTTTATATATCTGTACTTTCCCTCATTAGTGGCATTAAATTTTTTTAAACCAGGGTGTAACAGATTGGATTATCATATGTTCTCCAAACTCAAGTTCACTGGGGAACAACACACAAGGAAGTGCCTCCAGCCCAAAAAACATGTTTTCCTATTTTGTTGGGTGAAAAGCCACCATTTTATATTCATTTTGATAGATGTCCGTATCCTCAGATTAAAGGTAGCCACAAATGAATGTAAGGATCAAGGAAGGTAACTCAGTGAACTACCATTGGTCCCCAGATCATGAATATTAATATGGCAGCCTTTCAAAAATGTGCTGGTTCCTTGATGCTTAAAGAAGCAAGTGTTAGTAAGGGCAGGTCTGCAGAAGGAAGCCTGGCATAAGATGGCATAAGATTTTTTCTACTGTGTTTCAAGGAAACCAGGTTTCTACCGAGGCATCTTCAAGTCCACCTGAAGAGGTAGGGGAGAGAATGCCTAGGCCCTAGAGGGTCTGAGCCCCTACTGCTCCCGCATCAGTCTTCTTGCCATTTTTTTTTAATTTCTTGTCCATTTTTGTTAAAAATAGTGCTTTCTAATGTTAAAAATTTAAAGACTACTTACCTAAAGCAAGGGTCTCCAAAATGGGGTGCAGAAGATGACTCCTGAAATTCCAGAATTGAGTGTTTTAACTTCTATTTACAAGCGTGTGTGTGTGTGTGTGTGTGTGTGTGTGTTTTAAACTGAAGAGAGAAAGAAATTAAACTTTACTAATATTTAATATGAGGCACCGCCACTTGATCTGTAAGTGGGCAAGCACTCGGTGTTCTTGGGTTCTTGGGAGTGGGAGGGAGCACTCGGTGTTCTTGGGAGTGGGAGGGAGCACTCGGTGTTCTTGGGAGTGGGAGGGAGCACAGCACAGGTGGGGGACAGAGGGTTCTCTCCTTTGTTGATTGTCAACATATTGCCACATGTTGCAGCTTTTGTATCTAAGCGGATTTATGGATATTTAAATAAACTAACTGTTACAGCGTGGACCAATGGAGATAGTATTAATAATGCAATAATAGGCAAACACAATTGGCTAAGCTGACATTTCTGACACCCTTAGGGAGCCATATTGGGAGGTGAAAAACTAATGACTAATCAGATCTGACAATAAGTTGGCCATAATAATTGAAATTATAAAGAACATTGGTTCAGGTATGAATTTGCATCTTACTTTTGCTAACATCAACTTCACTCTTAAGTGTGTAGTATAGTTAATAGATGGCGATATGCTGAACTGATCACAATTAGGTAACCATTTAAAAACTAGGCATCAGACATGAAGATAAAACAACAATATTTACAGGATATTAAAGTAAATTACTATTAAAGCTGATACTTTAAAGAAAACTCACCGATTACAAATGCTATAAAGCCTCTTCTGAACTTCCTTTAAAAAAGGAAAGTGAAAAAGCAGCATGAATAGGGAAAATAGTTTTCTTCTTACAAAGATACAAATGGCTGAACTATACATGGGACACAAATGAAAAAAACAAAAACTGCATTCCTTTGGCAGCGAATACATTGAGAATTTGGATATGAGGTATTGCTCAAGACCCAAAAAGACACAGGTATTGGAACAAGTTACACAGTGTGGGAAATTTATGATAAGGTTAAATCGCAGGGGTGCAGGCGGTTTTAATATATATAAAAAAACATAAAATGTTATGGTTTTAATAGATTCTATTTCAGAGTGGTACTTATCAGATTGTGTTTTAATA